AACAATAAATAGCATAAGTCAAATCAAATAATAATAATAACCCAAATCATGATACTAGCAATAAGAATAAAAATAAGAGTAATTAAGTGATTAATTACTCACATTCTGCATTTCCTTGAATTGCTACATCATGAATAAACTGTTAGTAACTTCAATAAAAATATAAATCAAATTGAAATAATTAAAAATGATAAAAAGTAGAGTTTATTTGGTCCAAACCCTCAGTTAATTATACTTTTCACGCCTTGGTTTAAGTATATAACTTTGGGTACTGTATGAACTCCTTGGAGTGCTTAGGGGAAGTATTATGAGAGAATAGGGTGGCTAGAATTTAGGCTAAATAGGGAGAGAAAATTATTTTGTGATAATTCTTATTGATGATTGGAAAAGGGGTGATATGACCTCTATTTATAGATAAAAAAAAAATAGGGTCGAATAATTAAGAAAAGATAAGAATTCGAATCGGATAAAACTCTTGCGATAGACTGCATTTTTTGCGGTTTTTGTTTTTATCATATCTTTTGATCCAGAAATCGGAATAAGATAAATAAGATATCGTTGGAAAGCTCTTGAAATCTAAGTTCTAAAACAATTAGAATAAAATTAAAATATTTTGTATAATAAAAGATATGACCGAAATAGTGAGACGGTGTCAGTTTTGGATAGGGTTTGATATTTTATTCATATCTTTTCCGTTATAGCTCGAAATTGATATTATAATATATCATTGGAAAGATAATTTCAAGGGATATCCAACCATCTAAGATTTGGATAAAAATATGAGGCACGAACATAATATCTGTCTATCTTTGAACGTCTTTCAATTCAAATAGAAGTAGGACTTTCAAAAGGAGGAATTTTATTCAATTTCAAACTCTTTAATCTTATCTTTTCAAAAAGGATAATTAAGATCTTTTAGAAACTTATAGAAGATTCCAATTAATCCTAATTGGTTTAGGAATGGGATAAAATAATTTGGACCCTCCACATGATCATTAGGTCGTAGGTAAGGTGGGCTTAGGTTCGGTTTGGGCTCAAATTAATATTTTGGCCATAACTTATTTATTATAACTCGGATTTGGGCTTATAATATATCTTTGAAAAGCTCTTTAAAGCCCCATCCAACTATTCAATCATTGAACCCAGATTATGGACCAAAATAAACTGGATTAAACGTTTTTATAAAAAGGACACGAAATGAATGATTTTAAAGGATACGAAATGAATTATTTTGGGTTTAAAGACACGAAAAGAGGAAAATAAGTTATGGTTTGGGGAAATGGGATAGGAATTGGGTTGGTTTATGAAATGCAAATATGGATTTAATCACTCCAAGATTAAATACTCAGCCCGACCAATAATGGCGGTGAAAGGTTGTTTATCATCGAGTTTGGTTTTGGAGAGACATTTTTAGGTGTCTACAGTGTCGGAACGCCTTTAAATTTTAGGGGATACATCTCGGAGTCATATATTTCCGTTTTGAACCATATATGATCATTATATGTTGTCATAAATGTTTGTGGTAGGCTAGAGTTTATGAAATCGGTGCAAGTTGAAAATCGGTAAATTTGTCGTTTAAAGGCAAATTGGATGGTTTCACCCACCCAATTGGACTCCCGGAGGGTATTAGGGACCATGGAAATCATTTTGAAAATTTTTATTTACGGGCGAAAAAAGTCAAAAAATTCCAAAATTGAAGGCTAATATCCACGCTTTTTGAGAAATTTTGGAGGTTTAGGAGCTTAGTGTCGGAAAGCCTTTAGATTTTAGGGGATACATATCGGAGTCATATAATTCCGTTTGGAACCATATATGATCTTATATGTTGTCATAAATGTTTGTGGTAGGCTCGAGTTAATGAAATCGACACAAGTTGTAAACCGGTAAATTACCCGTTTAAAGGCAAATTGGATGGTTCCACTCACCCAATTGGACTCCCATAGGATATCAGAAACCATGGTAAACATTTCGGCAATTTTTATTTCTGAGTGAAAAAATGTCAAAAAATTCAAAAATTGAAGGCTAGTATCCACGCTTTTTGAGATTTTTTGGAGTCTTCAGGTCCCGGTGTCGAAAAGTCTTGAAATTATAGGGGATAAATCTAAGGTCATATAATATCGTTTGGAACCATATTTGTTCATTATTTGTTGTCATAAATGTCCGTGGTAAGCTTGAGTTAATGAAATCGGTACAAGTTGTAAACCGGTAAATTAGTCGTTTAAAGGCAAATTGGATGGTTCCACCCTGCCAATTGGACTCCTGGAGGGTATTAGCTAGGGACCATGGTTAACATTTTGACAATTTTTATTTACGAGTGAAAAAAGTCAAAAAATTCTAAAATTGAAGGCTAATATCCACGCTTTTTGAGACATTTTGGAGGTTTCGGATAGAGCTATCAATCCGGGTAAATGGATCGGGTTTGGGTCGGTAAGAGTGGGTCGGGTTAACTCGGATCGGGTTAATTCGGATTAATTCCGTAACCTATGCAGGTCGGGTTTGGGTTGAGTCGTGTTTGAGTCGGGTGACATCGGGTCATACTCTTTATCGAGTTTAGGTCGGGTTAATAACATGTCGGGTTATATTCGGGTCGGGAGAACAATAGGTCGGGTTTAATTCGGGTTTTCACGGGTTAAAACGGGTTAGGGTAATTCTCGAGTTTGAGTTGGGTTCAATTCAAGTCAATAATTTGCGATTTAGAATCAAGTCGGGTCATTCTCGGGTTTTAGTCGGGTTCGATCGGTTCAAGTCAATAATTTGCAGGTTATAATTAGTCGGATCATTTTCAAGTCGGGTCATTCTTGGGTTCAAGTCGGGTTCGGTTCAAGTCAATAATTTGCGGGTTATAATCAGGTTGGGTCATTTTCAAGTCGGGTCATTCTCGAAGTCAAGTCGGGTTATGTTCATGTCAATAATTTGCAGGTTACAATCAGGTCGGGTAATTTCCAAGTTAGGTGATATTTGGGTTCAACTAACTATAAATAGATAATTATCATTTTTATCAAGCTAATTATTTCTTTTACTATAATATATATATGACAATATACTAGGGAACTATAGTCAATAATTTAGGAAGATAACTATCTCCTTTGACCATACAACAAATATATACTATATTTAACACTTAAATTTGAGGATAATGCTCCTTTCTTTTGTTGGCTTGGGCTTACTTGGTCTCCCTAGACAAAATGCTTTGATCAACAATAATAAGGTGGTCTAAATTGCATTTAAGGTGATTCGAAATCGGGTCAGGAACAATTTGGGTTAAATTTAGGTTGGGTTAATAACAAGTCGTGTTGATTTCGAGTCGGGTTAGTAACAGATCGAGTTGAATATTTAGGTCGTGTTAGTAATTGTTATGGTAAAATTCGAGTCGGGTCAATACCAAGTCGGGTTGAATTTAGGTCAGGTCAATAACAAGTCGGGTTGATTTCGGGTCGGGTGTGTAACAAGTTGGGTTAAATTCGGGTCGGGTTAGGAACGAATCGGGTTGAATTCAGGTCAGGTTAGTAACGAGTCGGGTTAAATTCAGGTTTTGACGGGTTAAAACGGGTTTGGGTCCATTTCCGTTCAAGTTGGGCTCGGTTCATGTCAATAATTTACGGGTTATATTCGGGTCGGGTCATCTCCAGGTCAGTTCATGTTCGGGTTCGGGTCTCACATACTTGGGTCAACTCGGGTCTAGGCTTGGTTTCAGGTCAGGTTTGGGTCACCATTTTTTCAGATTCAGATGGGTCAGTTTATAATCGGGTTTGAGTTGCAATTTCGGGTCGGATCGGGTCAACTTTTGACAGCTGCTAAAAGTAAGATTAATTGTACGTTATAATTATAAAAAGATAAGACGAATCTAATCAACGTATAGGTATCCTTTTTATTCCATATGTAGAGATCACAAAAGACGACTAATGTGATATCATAAATGACATCCACGGAAGTTATGATTAAAATAAACGGAAGAACCATTATACAACTTGAACACTCTTGATCAGTAAGACGCCTAATTTGACTAAACCTATCAAGGATAATATCAAAGTATATGGAGAACAATTGCAAACAACAAATCAGTAACAATTAAACAAGCACAAGCCAACAATAATGATGAAATATTTCTGTCTAATACATGTTTTTTTTTTCAAGAAGAAACATGTCATTTATGAGTAGAAAGACAACAAAATTAAACTACACTGTTCGAATTATGTCATTATGTTTTATTGATTTTACTTTCTCATTTCAAAAAACAGACATAAAAGATAAATAACAGTGACTAATTGGAGCTATTCCCTGTTTGCAAGAGATGGGAATGCTCCCAATTACAGCCATCAAAACTCTTAATTTCAGCATGCCTGATAGTCCCTGGATCAACACAAGCAAAGTTAACCGAAACAGCATCAGGGTTCGACCTTGAGATGTTGAAGGAGGTGATGCCACAGATGTTACAAAACGTATGCTTAGCAGTGCAAGAACCAAAAGTGTATGTAGTAATGTTTGATTCACCTAAAATTAGTTCAAAGTCATGAGAAGGAACACTGAAAGAGATTTTACCCCTCTTTGAGCACATTGAACAATTGCATTTCCAAGCAGTCACACTTTGAGGTGATCTGAATTTGTATCTTATTCTTCCACAATGACATCCTCGGTGAGATACAACTAATTGCGAATTCGAGTTCATGAGATGAGTTAGAAAGATCAGATGATAGCAGGTTAATGTTATACAAGGGTATGGCCAAGGTTGATATGCATAGCTCAACACTTGGAGCTTACATAGTTAGATTACATGCCATATGGGAGATCTCAGGGAAAACATATACTACGTAAATACCATTTGATAGTTATCAAACAAAGCTTATTTAAGCACAAGTTATTGAACTCAAATTTTTGTCTCGACCCAATGTCGGGATCCAAAATGGTAATGAGTGGTAAAGAATTGAAGGTCAATTTACTATGAACATTTACATGTGATTATTACGAGTACAGCTTACTAGATGAACATTATGTTACCTGAATACAAGAAAGAAAAAACAAAACTAGATACCATATAAACCACTGAAATTTTAAAGTTAACCCTATATCTCACAATATGTAGCATATTGCAAGCCTTCCATACATCAATGATTTCAAGAAGCTTTCACTCCCAAAAACAAGCGACAGGCTGACAGAAGGTATCTTTGAGAGTGACAGGAGTAAATTCTGTATCAGCAATAAATGAATATGAGGCACCTAAAGAAGCAAGTTAAATAAGAAATTATACATAAAATCGCATCCCATATGGTGTAGTATAGTAATATAGGAAGGACTGAGATATTCGACAAAACTTTGGATCAGTGGAGAATCTAACCAACCACCTGACTACTAATTTCAAATTAGCTACTAAGCTTCAGTAAGACAGTAACTATTGCAGCTTAGCTCTCTTGATTATCAGACTGCAGATTCAACATTTGGGCGAGAACAAGCTTTGAGAGCTCATTGATCATGTTTTGGACTGGTACTCCCTCTCCATCCTCTTGTGTTGACCAGGAAGACGATTGCGACATTAGCCTCGAGTATTCATGTGCAGCCACATTGGTCTTTTTTGACGTAGTAAGGACCTTCTCTAAATCAGCTTGTGTCAGCAGCCTTGGAGCCTGAAAAAGTATAGAACACCAGTCAACCAACAGTCAAAACTTCTTAGCAGCAAAGCAAGTTAACAATCAAGTAAATGCCATTTTCTGCAACTACTTCCTTTCATCATAAATTACAAGTATCAAATTTTGATTACCGAATCAAGGGTGAAAAGCAACTTCATTCAAACATGAAAGGAAAATCATTTCCTTTAGCAATTGCGGGATATTTTACACTTCCAATATTTTTTGCCAGCATTATAAATCAACAACCAAGAACTAACCAACCAGTCCGAGGGAGGATATGAAACTAAGTATGCACTATGAGACTTACTATGTCCCTAAATAATAGGCCACATTTGATCAGTGGCTACTTTTTCGGAATTGTATTACACATAACCTAATTCTCCATATTCCTGTTATTTGGTTAAGAGCCTCATATCTCCACCATATCAAAGTAGTCCTTATTTGCAGTAATCCTAAATTTAAACATCATTAAGGGTGATATGGAGAGACTCTTAATCTATCTCATATTATTTTTCCAAGACCTAAAACATGATATATAGTAAAACATGATATATAGTGACAGGGTAATATATACTTGTTTATTCTGTCAATTACTCAAAAGCCATGCCCTAACCCGCTATGATTAAAAAGTTCCAATTATAAACACCATTCATATCATATGATCCATATCTCCTAGACTGATTATATAATTAAACCTGTCCAGTATAGAAACGAAAGGAACAACATGACAATAAAGGGCGACATAAAAGGCTGCTTACATGATGTGGTTTCCCACTCTTCTCATCATCTAAAAGCTCCCTGATTGGAAGATATGCAGCCTTTTTACAAAGCTCAAATAGATCAGAACCGGTACTTCCGTCACATAAGCTGGCTAGATAATCAAAGTCAATGTTTTCCTCTACCCTCTCATCCTTCAGGATTACTCTCAATATCTCTGCCCTCTCCTTGCGAACAGGCATTCCAATCTCAAATGCCTGAGAAAATCGGCGAAGAATAGCCTCATCAAGTTCAGATGGACGATTTGTAGCAGCAAGAACCATCACTCTGGCATTCTCTATACAAACAAGACAAAATCATCATAAGCCAAGTGGTCAACTTAGGGTGAATTAAATATCTAATGAATTGAAGAATTAAGGTCCTCAGTAAAGATGCATATGATTTAATGTATAAAATTAATCATTACAGAATCAGATGCAATAAACTTACGATCAGTTGTGAAGCCATCCCACAAAGCCATAAACTCTGTTTTCATGTTTGTCAATGCTTCATGATCAGAGTTTCTACGCTGTCCCAAGAAGCTATCAACCTCATCGATGAATATGATAGCAGGCTGTAGTTTGTATGCCAGGCTAAACACAGCAGAAACTGCAAAAAATTTAAAAAGATATTATGTAACTATAAGAAAAGTCAATAAAGGTCTGCCAAAGCACTTACTGTAGCAGACAAAATCTAGTTTTCCCATATACATTACTCTTTTCTAAAATATCAAGGACTTAATTCTTCAGTGAAGCACATGGTATATTAAGATTGTCATAATTTACCAAAATTAATGATGAACAGACACATTCAAAGTTTCTTCTCAATCTTTTTTTCTTTGTGATACTCAAATTCATCTCATAGTTTCTAAAACAAACCAAAAGCATTATAAGTTCAAGATATCTACAAAGAACATAGCATTAACATTTGCCATGCCTTCACACAATGCAAACAAGTCTATTGCCCTCTCCCTCCCACCAAAAAAAGAATATTAACCCAAGTAAAGTTGTTTTCTTGACCACCACAAGGATGCAAGCATCATCAAGTCCATAAACTGCATGCAAATTCAAGCTTAAAACTTACCGAGTTTTTGTGCGTCACCAAACCATTTGCTCATCAAATTTGAAATCCTCACATTTATGAAAACTGCTCCAGACTCTTTAGCAATAGCTTTTGCTAACATAGTCTTTCCAGTTCCCGGAGGACCATAAAGTAAAACACCTTTTTGAGGACCAAGCAATTTCCCATACGTAAACAGCTCAGGCCTCCGTAATGGAAGAATGACAAGCTCATAAAGTGCTTGCTTGATGCTATCTAAACCCCCAATTAAGTCAAACTTGACTTCTATGTGGTCAGGATTTATAACATCACATGCAATAACATCCTGCAGCAGAGACGACCAAAAATTTACAAAATAAAAAGTCAGAAATTGCATTGGTTGGTGGGGGGAGGGGGTATTCTATTAATTTATATGTGATGACACAAAAAAGGCTAACCCCTGAAATCTACAAGCCAAAATATGCCTACATTATGAGTCATTAAGCACTCTAATTTTTATATGATGCAATATGTTACTACAACACTTCATTTCATAGCCGTGTCAAAACTCAACACACCAACAATCATGTTTCCTTACCCGACAATTTAATGCTCATTCAAACACAGAAAAAAAAAAATGCAAGAATTGAATGAAGGAAAAAAGAAGTATATGTTGTATACATGCCCACAACTCACAAATATGCTTCACATTAACATCTCAACAACGAAACAAGAATACGTTACAATTCCTGCAGAAAGTCTTCTAAAAACAAGATTACGTTCCATTTATGTTGTATATCCACACACGTATCATCCCTGCACACGTATCATCCCCGCACCCGTGTCCAATTTAAGAATACTGTACCCATATATGAAGCTTCTAATCTTGACGTGTCAGAAACTTAAATCACTTGCACCTGAGTAACCAGCTTATACTAACACATGACGAAAAAAACCTACTCTTTCAAGGAAAATCTGTAACCTACCCCAATTAGGGAACACTAAATCTAACAATCCTTAATAAAAAAAAAAAAAAAAATCAAAGAATGACGGTTTCACATTCTACGTAAGAGTTTATCTCACAGTATAAAGGCGTTGTACTAGGTCAAAGTTCCGAATCTAGATGCATTCAATGACCTTAGGGATTTCCATTACCCTAAGTAAGGCAAGAAATTTACTGCAATGCTCAATATACCTAATGAAAATTTCAAAGTCTAGTCCCTTAAAATCCAATGCTGACTTTTTCAGAAGATTCAAAATAATTATACCTTAAATCAGTACCTTAACACCAGTACTAATTGTTTAAGACAAAGATAGCAAATGAGCACAAGTCAAAATAGCCAAAATAAATTAACAAAAACCCATCAAAACTCTAACAAACTGACATGAACAAGAACACAAATTGGAAATTTATACATAACATTCTCAACCAATAAACCATGAAATTACATTATCCCAACAAAAACCATACAAACAATACATTACACATGATTCAAAATCATCCCCAGCAAAAACCCTAACTCGAAAATTCCAAATTCACAATCAAAAACAAAATTAACCCAAAATTAACAATCCCCAGATAGAAAAACTATAATAAAATCATAAAAACTAAGAGAAATTACAATAAAAACCGAAAAAAAGAATGATTACCTCGTAAGGATTAGTTTGAATAAGAGGTCTACCCAAACGCTTAGCAATTTCTTTCTTCTGTTCAAGGGCTTTCTTTGACGCTTCACGATTAGGGTCTAATTGTCTAAGCCCAACAAATAATACCAAACAACTAAGAGCTGCACTTGCTGCATATAACACCAGTTCTTGTATTAACTTTGTTTCTGTATTCCTTCCCATTTCCCCCAAAATCTCTAAAACCCAGATTAAATTATTGTTGTATTTTATTTATATTCAGGAGATTGTTACCCAGAAATTAAAAATGGGGTTTGAATGATTTTGGGATGATTCGAGGGAGAAGGATAAATAGAAGAAGCTTAAGAGGTTCTTGGAGGAAAAGAAAAGAAGAGGAGAGAGAAATCTTCTGGAAACTAAATATTGTTGGTGACGATTAAACTAATGTTGTTCGTGTTGGGACATGGTAGTTCATTGTATTGGGCTTGTTTGGTCATATAAATTGGACTGCCAATAATATGGTTTATGATTTGGATCCATAAAATAAGATGGCTAGATTTTTAAGTACCCAAGATAATAATCTTTATGTAAACCATCTCGTAATTGGAACGTAGTAACCTACTAGACAAGGCTAGACCTGTCAATTTCTAACCCGAATCGGTACTCCGATCCTATTCCAAACCCGTTCTACTGAGAGAAAATCCGAACCCGACCTGAATGACTCGAAATTGACTCATTTATCATAATTTGTAATGATCCAAGCAATTCAAACCATTTGAAAATGACCCAAACAACCCAAAATTTGACCCGAATCCGACATATTGACCCGAATCGACAGGTTTAGAGTCTAGACATGGCTTTTCTGGTTTTTAATGTTGTCATAATTCTTTTGTTGGACGGAGAACTAAATGTCGATTCCATAATGTTCTTAAATCGGGCCGGGAGGGGGGAAGGGGGGAAACTCTAATCACTTGATCTATCACCCACTCTCTATAATAAAAACCCTCTAAGATGATTCTTTAACATCTCTCATACTTTTTACGATTGGTGGTTAATTTGAAAGTGGTTTCTTTTTTCTTTATGAAAAGAGTTTGGAAGAGATTTTTAATCTTAAGGATTAAATAAAGTTAAAATTTTTAATAAATATGTGTTGTTTTAAGAAAAATAAAGAGTTTTTTTTTTGGTGATTCTTTTTTTAAGTGAACTAATGGTGAAATATTTGAGGAATAAGATAAGAGTGACAATAGGCCAATAGGGGGGATAGGAAGAAACTAATGTATGGTTAATGTTGACCATTGCAACTTTTGCAAGTTAACATAATTTTGAAATTAACTTTTGTGACACACAAATCATGAATTGGGTTCATATCCTAACAAGCCATCAAGGTCTCTCAGACTCAAATCCCACACATTTTATATATTTGGATTCAATTTCTTAAAGGGGAAGGGTCTAGCCGACTAGCCATTTTTTAGTTAGGGCTCGAACCCATTGTCGTCCTTATGTGTGATGGAAGGATGGCAATTCCTTTACGCTAGTAAGCTAGTGTAATTTGGTTTAATACTCTTTTCCCTATTTTATGAATTATGATGGAGTCCCTTGAACAACTAACCATGACAATTGACAAATTTGACTTGTTAATCTAAGCTTTCTTCTGTACGTACTTGCTCTCTTACTTCTCAACCATGCACCTAACAAGGAAGTACAAGTCACAAGTTGCTAGTACAAGATCGAAGCGACAAAGTAATATTTTGCTTCCTGCCTTCCTCTACAAATTCAATGTATAGTGTGTTTTCGTCAACATTCACCTAGCAAGTTATTCCGCTATCTCTATCCTAACTCTCAACTTCTTTAGGGAGCCTCATACCACATTACACCTACACAGATAAAAGCCCTATGTCGTGCAAGAATCTAATTATTAGCTCTGAGAGTGAGGAATAACTCAAGTTTCTTCCCAATTCCTGGTAATTCTGACTTCGATTCTCATCACTCGCTCTTGTAGCTCTCTAAACACCAAAATATTAAATTGAGTATTATTTCTAACAATTATTCCGTCCCCAAAAGACAAATTTCAGCAAATTAATGTTGACCGAAAATATTATAAGGGCTGAGATTTAAATTTTTACCTCTCGCTCAAAACCAATCACTATGCCCCAATAATGTGATGTGCATTTAAAATTCAGTTGAAAAATCTAAAACTGAATTTTAGATACACATCACATTTATTGCTTCACTTAATGTTAGAGCACACTTTGATTAAACATATAGGCATATGGCATTACCCAAATGATCACATTATACATATATACATGTGTTTGGATCTCCTTGTGAGTTGTGACATGTGAGTATTGAGCAAAGGGAGAAAGTCAACGATAATATGATAAGCTCACCGAGCCGCAATGTTAACAGAGATGATAGAAATTTACACCGATTCAATCTTCAATTCATAAATAGTTCAACCAAGAAATTCAATTTATAAATGTGCAATAACTTCAATCTATTATATGAAGTATATGTTGACACCATGAGTTCATGACGATACATTTGCACACTCTTCGGATTGCCATTAGTAGTCTTATATACGGCAATACCATTCTCTAATTTTGGAAATTGTAAGTATGAATTTTTTTAATTTTTTTTTTATAGTAATATGTTTTAGTTTTTGACAAAGCATTCAAGTATGATTTAATTGCTAATGAGACATGATTATTTATTTTCATTTAAACGCTATAATTTTAATCACTTAATTGTCTAATCATATAACTGTAATAAGGTTTTTTAAAATAAAGTATTTGGTATGATATAATCTCGTGTTACAACTCAGTTTAATAAGACGTCTTTTGATATTAAAGGAGGGCCGACATAATACGAGTAAGGAGTAATATTCTTCAATAATCAATGAAGTATCGATCGATGAATTACTTGACGAAATTGACATATGGCATTTAGGTTCACCTAGTTTTGGCCACACGCTTAAAAGTTGTCGTATTGCTTTGAGTGAAAGTAGGCTAAATACTCCTAATTAAAAAAATTCCAATGTCAAAATCATCTTCCAAATTCCGATCATATAGTGGAGGTAGGACGAAAATGAAAAGAGAAGTCAACGAGAAGGCTAACATCAATATTAGCCCAACATTTGTATTCATATATTTAAACTTTTATTACATTTTATTTTATGTGCAGTACAATGTTCTGTACTACTAATTCTTTCAGTACCAGAATTAATGACTGTAAAGTGTCGAAACTTTGCTGATTTTCATTTCTGGTCTAGTATCTTTTCTTCCCGTGTCTATAAATCCTCAATCATTCCTCATTTCTTCTCCATTCTCTGCAATTTTTCTTGTTTATTCAAGATTATAAATTTGTTCTTTTTTATAAAAATTCTAAAACACCCATTTGATGATTTGGGGTTTTTGTTAGATTATCAGGAGTTTTTATGCAAATTGATTGCATATTAGAGATACCCATTTGCGTGTAATTGTTCATGTTGGGAAGAATTTCATGATATTGGAGGAGCAATAGCTGGGAATTTTGTCTTTGCAAACGTCACATAATCTGAATTATTTTAACTTTTTTGGAAACTATTGAAGTGAGGTAATAGTTCTTGGCATTTTTCTCTTCTCAGAATTTGATTATTACTTATTATAAATAAAGTTATTGTTTTTTTATTGGGTTTTTTGTGGACATATGCTAGCTTAATTGGTATAGTCTTTAGGGTGGCTCCAAAAACCCGACATTAAATCTCGTCTACATCATTGTTGTTCGTGTCTCTCTATACCAATTACTAACTACGGTAATTAATTACAGGAAATGGGAAGTAATGGTGAAATGAGGGAAATGGAAAGAGAAGATTTTGAAGAGCAAAACAAGGTGCAGGAAGAAATAAAGAGAGTGCCACCGTGGCAAAAACAAATTACAATAAGAGGAATAATTGCCAGTATATTAATTGGGATTATTTACAGTGTGATAGTGATGAAGCTAAATCTTACAACTGGTCTTGTTCCTAATCTTAACGTCTCAGCTGCTCTTGTTGCTTATGTTGTACTTCGGAGTTGGACTAGCTTGCTTCAGAAATTTGGGATTGTAACCACACCTTTTACTAGACAAGAGAATACTGTTGTTCAAACTTGTGCTGTTGCTTGCTACAGTATTGCTGTTGGAGGTTAGATAACCAACCTTTCTAACTACTAGTTTTTAATTGCTAAATACATGATGTTATGATGTCCAATGTTGAATTGTACAATTTTTGTTATATTGATGTTACTTGGACTTTTCATTTCACCTAGCACACCTCAGAACCGATCTTGCGATGTTTTAAATGGTTATAGTTTGACATGGGTGTGGATATTTGGCACTTCATCATATTTGAACTAAAACATGCAAATTTTTTAATAAGATGGCCGAGTTTGACACTTAGGCACGTACAAGTGTACAACGTACGACATAAAACACTAGTCACTGAGTCTGAGACTGAGACTCTTGACTCTGAGTAACATAGTATATGCTTGTACATGGTAGCAGACCTAGCAGTAGACACAAGTTTGGTAACTTTGTTACATAAGGCTTAACTAATAGTGTGGCAATACTGGTTTGTTAGTGTACAGAGGCTTAAGGCTTAACTCTATTTAGTTTGATTTATTAGTGTAATTGAACTATAGCTTAATTTGCTGTTATGAGATATATTATTTGGTTTACTACTGCATAACTTGTAACAGTATTTTACCTTACATATTTCAAATTACAGGTGGTTTTGGATCATATCTATTGGGTCTGAATAAGAGGACATATGAACAAGCTGGGGTCGATTCGGTGGGAAATGACCCGAATAGCTACAAGGAGCCTAGAGTTGGTTGGATGACTGGATTTCTCTTTGTTAGCAGTTTTGTTGGGCTGCTGGCTTTGGTTCCTCTAAGAAAGGTCTGTATTAATTTATCATCCTTTACTTTTCCATATTTCATGTAATAAGAAAAGAGATTCTAAATAAAGTGTATCACCAACAAAGAACTTTTTGATCAAGATAATGGGTATGCAATCACATAGTCACCTTAGAACATTCTCTTAGCTTAGCTATTATGTAGGCTTACTTTATCTTTGTATATTCTCTTGTTAACTTTGCTTCTCCACCTTATGTTTAGTTTTGTTTTGGGCATATTGTTGTGGGGTTAAACTCCCACTATCAGATATGGTTACTTTTTATAGCATTTTCGGCGTTCTTGGTCCCTTAGTTCCTATTGAAAGAGAATGAAGAATAATGAAAATAATCGTAACATGTGGATTGCGATGAACAAGAACTTTTATTCTTTGTATTGTCCTTCCGTTTTTTCTCCTTGTCCTGCTAATCATATTCGTTTTACTTTCTTTGCAAACATGTGATCTTGTTTGCATCACTTTACATTCTAACGGTCAAGGAAGAGACATCTCCGTATAGGAATGTTTTAGAGAATGACAAATCACATACTTTCTCTGACTCCTATTGTCCTGTAATATCCTCGCTTAAACCTTAGATTCTACCTTAATGTGTACTGTTTTCTCTTTTGGACTTGTTATTCTCTTAGTGTACATTATTATGTGCAAGGTAATGCATGTTACAAAGCTCAATATTTGAAAGATCTTCAGAAATAATTTTTTGTGAAGTATTTTCAGATGAATGAAAAAACAGTTCTGTTGATGATTAGTTAAAATAATCCTTTTGTGTGGATACTTATTGAACAGATTAGATGGTGAGTTAAGAATTTTGGGAGAAATTTGGTTTACCTTCTCTCGTGCGAGTTGTGTTCATACTACAGCCTGTAGTCAGCAAACCCTTAAAGGCCTATAATATTTTACAGAGAGGAACTTCTCTGCCACTCCTTGCTTTTGTCTTTTATCCTCAAGTCATAAAATTTATAAGAATCGTAACTATATTGAGAAATAATAATTATATTGAGAAGTTGCATAAGTTGCCACAATATCATTTTTGTAAGGTTTTATGGTATCATACCCTTGAACGTTCTGTAATTTGATCTGCAGATCATGATAATAGACTACAAGCTAAGTTATCCTAGTGGAACTGCAACAGCAGTTCTTATAAATGGTTTCCACACCCCCAAAGGTGACAAGATAGCCAAGTAAGCTAATTTTAATATAAATGAACCTAATTTAACTTTCTCATGATAAGCTGCTAGAGACCAATGTTAGTCTTTGTATTTTTTTTTATAGGAAGCAAGTTCGTGGCTTTGTGAAATATTTCTCCATCAGTTTCCTATGGGGTTTCTTCCAGTGGTTTTATACTGGTGGAGACCAGTGTGGCTTTTCTCAGTTTCCAACATTTGGGTTAAAAGCATGGCAAAACTCGTGAGTAACCAGTCCTATTTTTTGCCATTGTTTACTCTACCAATCCATTTTTCATAATTGGAACTGTTCGAATCAAATTTTGCAGGTTTTACTTTGATTTTAGCATGACCTATATTGGAGCCGGAATGATTTGCTCTCACCTAGTAAACCTGTCATTACTTTTTGGTGCTGTTCTATCGTGGGGAGTAATGTGGCCACTTATCGGGGACCTGAAAGGAAATTGGTTCCCTTCGTCTTTGCCAGAAAGCAGCATGAAGAGTCTGAATGGATACAAGGTGTGAACTAAATTTGGGATTCTAATTTTCATGCTTCAGATCAGTCCAACATAATACTAATGCCTTGAAAAGTGATGGAAATTCTGATTTTTGCTGCACTTGTTGATAATCTTTTCCAGGTTTTCATTTCTATAGCCTTAATCCTAGGTGACGGGCTCTACAACTTTCTCAAGATACTATTCTTCACCATTCGGAGCATCCATTATCGCATGAAGGAAAATAACCTAAGCTCAAGTAAGTGAGACTCTCAAATTACCAATTCATGACAAGATATTGACTGTGTTTTGGTGCTTTATAGTGAGGAGCCTAGCAACTCTATGTCTTATATACATGTGAACCAACCTAGCCCGTGCATGTGGGTTGGATCCATTCTGGGTGTTAATTGTTGTAGTACATACTAGTAATGGACTAATGCTTGATTTTGTGTACAGGTCCAGATGGCCAAAAGCGGGAAACAGATGATCTTCAAAGAAATGAGTTCTTCATGAGAGAGAGAATACCCATTTGGCTTGCATGTGTTGGCTACATATTCTTCTCCGTAATCTCTATCATTATCATACCTAAAATGTTCCCTGAGTTGAAATGGTATTATGTTGTTGCGGCCTACATATTAGCACCTTCTCTCAGTTTTTGCAATGCATATGGCGCTGGTTTAACTGATATGAACATGGCCTACAATTATGGAAAAGTAGCACTTTTCGTACTTTCTGCTTTAGCAGGTAAAGATTCTGGTGTGGTGGCAGGGCTCGTAGGCTGTGGTCTTATCAAGTCCATTGTCTCAATCTCCTCTGATCTGATGCATGACTTCAAGACCGGCCACCTTACCCTCACTTCTCCTCGATCAATGCTTCTTAGCCAGGCTATTGGGACTGCAATCGGGTGTGTTGTGGCCCCACTCACATTCTTCCTCTTCTATAATGCATTTGATGTTGGTAACCCTGATGGAGAGTACAAAGCTCCCTATGCCCTCATCTACCGGAACATGGCCATCCTCGGAGTGCAGGGCTTTTCAGCTTTACCTCAACACTGCCTGCAACTATGCTATGCATTTTTCGGATTTGCTGTTGTGGCCAACTTGGTGAGGGATGTCTCCCCTAAAAAGATCGGGAAGTGGGTTCCACTTCCGATGGCAATGGCCGTGCCTTTTCTTGTAGGGGCCTATTTTGCCATCGACATGTGTGTTGGGAGCTTGGTGGTGTTTGTGTGGCATAAGTTAAACAGTCAGAGAGCAAATTTGATGATTCCTGCAGTCGCTTCAGGACTGATATGTGGAGATGGGCTGTGGATTCTTCCATCATCGATACTTGCCTTGTTGAAGTTCAATCCTCCCATCTGTATGACATTTCAATCTTCTTAGACTCCAATTTGTTGATGATAGCTAATAAAATCGATAGAATGGCTAGCTTATAGAGGTTATTGAAATATTATGGTGAGATATGGAGGTAGCTTTTGGAAAATTTTGCACTGAAGAGAATTAACAGTAGTAACACAAAGGCTGAGTTAGTATATATGATACTTCAACAGTTAAACTTACATTAAAGTCAAACAAATATACTTATTACATACAACAGCATTGTGGTAATATTGTTTGAACCTTAGTTTGGGCTAGGTGGTGTATTTATACAAATGTATGGAGCAATTGGTAATGTAATAGTAATATCATAGTTTAGCTTCTTAGCCCTTCCATTGTAGCTTGCAGATACTATTGTAACTATTTAGCTCCGTGGTATTATGTTGTACACTTGTACAACGCATTAGATAGACTACGCTTATATTTTCAGGCATTAAACTGTAAAGTACTTTTATTTGATACTTGGTATTAATTAGAAAGACAATAATTCCTATATTTAAAATAAATACTTTTCTCGTATATACTCTCAACATTTGTAATTTTGTATAACTACCTTGTGTTACTAACAAGCCTAAAGATGAACAAGGTCATGAATCTGGTGAACATGACTTGTTATAAACCTATGAAGGCTAACTCTTCAATTTTTTTTTATTTTTTTTTTAAATGTACGTAGTATAAGGTACGGGTTAATAACTAGCTTTGAAACTCGTGCGATGCACAAGTTAAAAGATTAAAAAGATCAATATGAAGTTCTTTGCACAGTTGCTATTGCAAATGGCAGTAGCAGAACAAGTTGCTTGTAATGTGCCAGAAAAATTCAATTTGTTTCTGGTGAGACTTCTTCTTAACTCAGTTAATTTCATCCCATTCTTTGCTTATTCCTAAATTCTGATTTCTGATTTCAGATTTCTTCATCATCTTTTTTTATTCTTTTTTGGAAGATGGTGATTTGGGATTTCATTTTTGTTTTAAAGAGCTTTATTGCCAACTGACTGAATAATGGAGATACCCACTTGGGAAATTTTGATTTTTCCCCTTTTTCCCTGCATTTGTACTTTTGCTGAAGAATATCATGATGTAGGCGGAGCAATAATTGAGGGTTTATCTTTGCAATCGTCACAGAATCTGAATTCTTTGTTGCGGTAAAAAGCTAACACTATTGGGAAGTGAGGTAAGATCTCTCAAAAATGTTTGCCATTATTCTTTATGCTGCATCTTTCCTTCCTTTTTCCCCAAAGTTTATTAGATTCCTTTTGTTTTATTGTGGAGAGAGCACCACAAAGGGCAATGATGAAGACGAGATTTGATCCGAGGTATTGGGGTACCGTTTACTACCCCAAGACTTAAATTGATTAAATAAGTTGACATTCTGAATTTGTTAGAATTCAGTTAATTTCTAAAAAAAGTTACAGTCTTTGATGGTTTGGACTTTGGGGTTAGTAGCAAATTTTTTTGAGCATATAATCACATAGATTATTGCAGGATATGGGGAGTGATATTGAATTGAAAGAGTCTATTGGAAGAGAAGGATTTGAAGAACAAAACAAGGTTCAAGATGAAATAAAGAGAGTGCCACCTTGGCAAAAACAGATTACTATAAGAGGAATTATTGCCAGTATATTGATTGGGGTGATTTACAGTGTGATAGTGATGAAGCTTAATCTCACAACTGGTCTTATTCCTAATCTTAATGTCTCGGCTGCTCTTCTTGCTTTCGTTTTCCTTCGGAGTTGGACTAGTTTGCTTCAGAAACTTGGGGTTATGACCACTCCTTTCACTAGACAGGAGAATACCGTTGTTCAAACTTGTGCAGTTGCTTGTTATAGTATTGCTGTTGGAGGTCAGATTATCCTCTCTTTCTAACTTATGTTAAACGAAGTACAGTAACTGTCATGATGTCCAATATGTGAAATGTATGATTTTGTTGTGGAGAAGCAACTCTGGTATATATATTTTATCAAGAGTGTTGGACTGCAGCCAAACAGGTCAAGACTTAAATGTTGTTGGTGATTATTGCATATCTATGCTATATGGATTCTTTATTTCACCCCAAAAGCTGAATTCAGGTACCTGATAGGCTGATACTCCGATATGGATATGTGTTGGCACCTGTTATTTTGGATCAAAATTTGCAAATATTACGTAACATGACCAAGTTTTATACCTAGACATAAACATGTTTAGGAAATTAACAGCCGAGTCTAAATAACTTAGTGTGTACAAATGTGTCTCTGTAGAATCTGCTTATGGCAGGAATCCTGATGGTGAAATGACACTAGTTTCATCATATTAGACTTACTGGCGGTGTATACAAATGAGTCTAGTTGACAAAAACTTCTTTTTGTTTAGTTGTTTCAGTTTTTCATTCAACAAAGCTATGTACTAGTGGACAGTGGTGTATTCATTATATAACTTCATTTAGTGGGCAAAAGCTTAACCTTGATTGGTTTAATTTGTTTAAATATGATTGTATATGCTGTGATGTTATGTGATGCTATAATTAATTGGTTTAGTATTTACTATCACATTATTCAAATAAATATTACGAAGTATTTGGTAACATTTGTATCATGCTACATGTTTACAGGTGGGTTTGGCTCGTACCTGTTGGGTCTGAACAGGAAGACATACGAGCAAGCTGGGATTGATACACAGGGAAACACATCCAATAGCTTTAAGGAGCCAGGAGTTGGTTGGATGACTGGATTTCTTTTTGTTAGCAGCTTTGTTGGGTTGCTGGCTTTGGTTCCGCTAAGAAAGGTTTGATTTGTTTATTTCCCTGTTTATGCTAAGAACCTTTGTGTAAAGTGAACTTTCTAAGAATACATTATCGAGATAAAGAACGAAATTCCCTCGCAGTGTCACCTCGGAACATTCTCTGTTTAGCTTAGGTGAAGCCGCAGTGACAGTGGCACTTTATAACATTTTTTGCTTAGCTTTCACTGTCAACCTTATCTTTGGTTTGCTTTTGAAAATATGATGTGTGGTTACCTTTTTAGTCTATTGGCTTTCTTTCCCCTTTATTTGCAATGAAAGAGAATAGCTTTTTTTTTTTCCTCTTTTTTGTATTCATGACATACAATATGTGATAAATAAGAGCTTTTTTTTTTTCCTCTTTTTTGTATTCATGACATATCTGTTAACCTTTTTTTTTTTTTTTGGAAAATATGTTATCTTGTTTGCATAACCTTATAGGCAAGGAAGACTAAAACAGGCTTTTAATGTTCTTGTTTAGGACCTTAAGTTCTATGGTACTTCAGTAGCTGCCTACTTATTTTCTTGGACTTCTAAATTTTCAGTGACTTCTGTTCTGTGTAAATTAATGTTTCGGAGGGTAATTTTTAGAAGATCATCTGGGACTATTTTTTAAATATTTTCCAGCATTTGGATAAATAAATGATATTCAACGGTAAATGATGTAAGTAGTATATGCAAGCATATGAAAAGGGCTATAAATAAGTTCCTTTGAACAGAGGAGGTTCAAATTATCTTCTTGTGTGGATACTTAAGATGGTGGATATGATTATCAAGATGTTTGGGTTTTCTTAATCCACATTTTCCCTTGATAGACAAGCACTTTATACCACTTTCTTCTTTTCTTCTGAAGCCATAGCAACATATTAAGCTAATTTATATTTTAGATTAGATGATTACAGTATGCACTTTTACCTCAAAATTGCTGTGGAGTGTAATCATATTTTCATATTTGATCCCCAGATCATGATAATAGACTACAAGTTACAATATCCAAGTGGAACTGCCACAGCAAATCTAATCAATGGTTTCCATGCCGGTAAAGGAGAACACAAACCCAGGTAAGCCAAATTCATTTACATCTAGATTCATCTTTCTGACAGTAATCTCCTGGAGACCAATGTAGACTTGTAAATATTTTGCAGGGTGGAAGTCCATGGCTTTGTGAAATATCTCTTCATTAGTTTCCTATGGAGTTTCGTCCAGTGGTTCTATTCTGGTGGAAACCAATCTGGCTTTCCTCAGTTTCCAACATTTGGGTTCAAAGCATGGGAAAACTCGCAAGTACTTAATCCCTTTTACTGTCAATTTCAGTACCACCTGATACCAATCATAATCTTAACTATCCGAATTGAATTTTGCAGGTTTTACTTTGATTTCAGTATGACCTATATTGGAGCTGGAATGATATGTTCTCACCTAGTAAATCTGTCATTGCTTCTTGGTGCTGTTCTATCGTGGGGAGTGATGTGGCCACTCATTGGTGACATGAAAGGAACATGGTACCTCTCATCTTTGCCAGAAAGTAGCATGAAGAGCCTAAATGGATACAAAGTAGGTATTGAATTAGGCAATTCACAATTTCACACTCCTTAATGTTCAGATTCATGATTCACACCTCTTCTCTAAAACTAATCAAAGCTAAACGTACCTTCAATATTGATGACATTTCTGATCTTTCCTGCACTTTCTGATGCACTTTTGCAGGTTTTTATTTCGATTGCCCTAATTTTAGGTGATGGGCTTTACAATTTTTTCAAGACACTGTTCTTCATCACCCGAAGCATCCATGATCGCTTGAAGGACAAAAATCTTAGCTCATGTAAGTGAGATATCTACTAATTTATGACAAAATATTTACTAAATTTTGGTGCTTCATAGTTTATAGCAAGGATCCTAACAACAAGAATTATTTAGTGGGTCTTTGCTGAGTCACTTTACCCTGACTAAGTTTACATGATTTGAGTCAACCTAAACCGATGTGGTTTGGATTTATTTTGGGTGGTGATGGTTAATAACTAGTAAGGGGCAACTTGACTCTGTCTATACCAGGTCCAGATAATGAAAAACAGGCGCTAGAGGATCTTCTAAGAAATGAGGTCTTCATGAGAGAGGGAATTCCTGTGTGGCTTGCATTATTTGGCTACACATTATTCTCCATAATCTCTATTATCGTGATACCTGTAATGTTCCCGGAGTTGAAGTGGTACTATGTTGTTGTTGCCTACATGCTAGCTCCTTCTCTCAGTTTTTGCAATGCCTATGGTGCTGGTTTAACAGATATGAACATGGCCTATAATTATGGAAAAGTTGCACTTTTCATGCTTGCTGCTCTAGCGGGTGAAAATACTGGTGTTGTTGCAGGGCTTGTGGGCTGTGGCCTAATCAAGTCCATTGTTTCCATTTCCTCTGATCTAATGCATGATTTCAAGACTGGCCACCTTACCCTCACATCCCCTAGGTCTATGCTTCTTAGCCAGGCTATTGGGACTGCAATTGGGTGTGTGGTTGCTCCACTCACATTTTTCCTGTTTTACAGTGTGTTTGATGTTGGTAACCCCGATGGAGAGTACAAGGCTCCATATGCCCTTATCTATCGGAACATGGCTATTCTCGGAGTGCAAGGCTTTTCAGCTTTACCTCAACACTGCCTGCAACTATGTTATGCATTTTTTGGGTTTGCTGTGATGACCAACTTGGTGAGGGATACCTCTCCTAAAAAGATCGGGAAGTGGGTACCACTACCAATGGCAATGGCTGTGCCTTTCCTCGTAGGAACTTATTTTGCCATCAACATGTGTGTTGGGAGCTTGGTGGTACTTGTGTTGCAAAGGTTAAACAGCCAGAAAGCAGTTTTGATGGTTCCTGCAGTGGCTTCAGGACTGATATGCGGAGATGGGCTGTGGATACTTCCATCATCGATATTTGCCTTGGCAAAGCATAAGCCTCCCACCTGATGATGGTAGAAGCAGGTGAAGGAATAGATTGATAGTAGGCAAAGCTTTTAGAGAAAGATACTTGATTTATGATTCTAAAGGCGAATCAGTCTATACAACACCAACTACATAGAAGTGAGAGGCAAAAATAAATACAAGCGATACGATAGTGCTTTGATAGAAATCATAGAATTGACTGTTGATTTTATGTTCTAATCTCATACAAGTAGCTAAGTTGCTATGAAGCCTTTATTTTCTGTAGACTTGTGAATAATTTGCTAGTTCTCTGTTTGTAGTACAGGGTATTAGCTTGTTTATTAGATGTTAGATGATTGGATTTGGACTGAATTAATTGTCTCAAATTAGTCCAAATGCATATTATACTTTGGGTAAGGCAATATTCTGTATATAATACTATGTATATGTATATATTGTCAAGAGTACGTCTAAAGTAATGTTCTCTTCACCTAAATTTCATCTATCACATTTAATCCTACTTGTATTCATCTTTAAACTTATTTTCGTACATGCTCCTTTCTCATTTTACATGTAAATTAAGGAAGGTTAAGGAAATATAAAATCAAATGTGAAATACATTAGGAATAGTTACAAAAGAAATTATACTTTGGTTTTCTACTTGAGACAATAATGAAAATAAGGTGAGGTGAAAAGCCTAATTTGGTATAACACGGGAAAAAGAACAATTTTTTACCAATAATTAAAGTGGTAATATAAAGGTTACTACTTACTTTTAAATCATAATCAACAATTTTTTACCAATAATTAAAGTTTTTTTTTACATACAGTATTTAAGTAGTGCTACGAATATGAATATTTCTGACATTATACTAAAATAATAGTATTCCGAAATTAGCTAGTAGCTACATCCCTCACATGTCCCAACTCTCCCAAGATTCCCAACCCAAACAGAACAAAAACCATAGTAAAATAATTATTATTTTTTTAAAAAAAAAAAGTAAATATTTTCCCACCGAACATTCATAATATCTGATTTCTAAAATTAGTGAAGAGAAAAAACTTTAATTTTTTTTCCCACCTCCACTATACAAATTACAAAAATTATTTAAAAAACACCCAAAAAATCAATCGATAAAGCCAGTCTTTTGAAACACAGCGTTTCGCACAGTAGTCAAATCCCTGCCCTTAAGAGTTCTTCCAGCACCTTCCATAACCGAAAACGACGTCGCATTATGCGACCTAGCAACAATCTCATGAGGCGGCACCATCTCTTCACCATCATCATCCAACAAATCACCACCACCATCAACTTCATCAAACCGGCCCAGCCCAACAAAAGCCCGCTTCCTACGACTCCCAAGCCCATTGGGCCAAACGGGGACATTAACAGGTGCCGACTGATGAAACTTCCTCCCGTAATAGTAGCCCGCTAACCCAGGCCCATTACCACGACTGAAAGAGGATGAAATCATTGAAACTGGAGACGTTGTCGTTTTGCGTTGGATTGAGGTTGGGCTTCGGGGTTCGTCGGGGGTGAGTAAGGCGGCGGAGATTCCGGTGGCTGAGGAGATTGTAATTGCCGGGTTTTCAACGGCGGTGGTTGTCTTTTCCGGCGAGGATGAGGTAGACCAAACGACGTCGCATTCGTCGAATTCTTCTTCTTCTACATGTTCTTCTTTGTGTTGTTTGGGGTATTTGTTGAGAGTTGGTGGGTTGAATGAAGTGGTGGTGAGAAATCGAGATGGTTTCTGCACCATTTTTAATGGCGATTTTGGTGTTTGTGCTTTTGGGTTGAAGAAGATGCAAAAATAAAAATAATAAATGAATAATAATGAGAATAATAATATCTGGGGATTGGAGAAGTAACGGAAAATTTATGAGGTGGGGAAGAGAAAGAGAGTAGTAGTAGTGTGACTGCGGTGAGTGGAAAGGAAGAGGGTGAAGTTGCAAATTGTGGGGAAATTAATTTAGGCCACACGTCGTGTGTTACGAACCTTCTCAAATGCGTTGGATTTTTATTTTTTCATTATCATCATGTGGAGATTCTGATGGGAAATTATGTGTTACATTGTCAATTAGTTATTTATATTCTCTCAGTTTTAAATTACTTGATATAATCGCGTTTTAAAAAGAGTTTTTGGCACATTAATTATTGATTTACTTAATCCATAAGGAATTATGATAAATGTATTTTTGAACATGTTACCGTACCATAGAACAAAGTTAAAAATTATCAAAAGTTACCCTTTAAACATATATAAGTTACCCTAATCGATAAAAGTAGAGTGCAACTAGACGCATAACTCCTATATGTGTTTGTAAATATATAGGAGGGCAAAAGTAGAGTACATTATAATGTACCATTATGCATATATAATGTACTGTTATTATATAAATTGTTTGAATAATACTTTTTGTATACTATTATGCATGCAGTGGTACTTTTTACCATCATATACGTTGAATATTTTCCCCTAAAATATTTACCACATATCACCTAATATACATGTAATGGTACATTTTTCATCCTATATGTTTGCTAAACCCATAGGAGCTATGCGCTAAGAGTTACAGTAAAATAAAATCGATAATGGGTGGTAATCTGAGTAGTTTTTTAATTTAAGGGGTGGTAAAATAAAATCAAAAATTAAACGGGTGGTTATTTTGAAAATGGATACATTTTTTTGTGCTAATTTCCAAGTCAGGTTATTTCCAAGTAAGTTGATATTCGGGTTCAACTAACTATAAATAGATAATTATCATTTTTATCAAGCTATACTATATTTAACTCTTAAATTTGAGGATGATGCTCCTTTTCTTTGCTGGCCTGGACCGACTTGGTCTCCCAAGACAAAATGCTTTGATCAACAATAATAAGGTGGTATAAATTACATTTAAGGTGATTTGAAATCGGGTCAGGAACAATTTGAGTTGAATTTAGGTCGGGTCAATAACAAGTGGTGATGATTTCGAGTCCGGTTAGTAACAAATCGGGTTGAATTTTTGGGTTGGGTAAATAATAGGTATGACAAAATTTAGGTTGGCTCAATAACAAGTCGGGTTGAATTTGGGTAAGGTGACTAAGGTCAATAACAAGTTGGGATAATTTCGGGTCGGGTTTGTAACAGGTTGGGTTAAATTCGGGTCGGGTTAGGAATGAGTTGGGTTGAATTCAGGTCAGGTTAGTAACAAGTCGAATTAAATTTGAGTTTTAACGGGTTAAAACGGGTTTAGGTAAATTTCAGTTCAAGTCAAATTCGGTGCAAGTTAATTAAATTGGTCGTTGTGAATCAGTGCAAGTTGTAAACCGGTAAATTGGCCGCTCAAAAGCAAATTGAATGGTTCCACACACCCAATTAGACTCCCGGAGGGTATTAGAGACCATGGTAAACATTTCGACAATTTTTTTTCCCGGGCGAAAAAAAGTCAAAAAATTCCAAAATAAAAGGCTAATATCCACGTTTTTTGAAAATTTTTTTGGAGGTTTCGAGGCCCGGTGTCGAAAAGTCTTGAAATTTTGTGGGATACATCTAGGGGTCATATAATGCCGTTTGGAACCATATATGATCATTATTTATTGTCATAAATGTTCGTGGTAGGCTTAAATTAACGAAATCGGTGCAAGCTGTAACCGGAAAATTGGTCGTATAAAGGCAAATTGGATGGTTCCACCCACCCAATGGGACTCCCGGACGGTATTAGGGGTCATGGTAAAAATTTCGACAATTTTTATTTTTGGGCGAAAAAGACAAAAATTTCAAAATTGAAAGCTAATATACACGCTTTTGAGAAATTTTGGAGGATTCGGAGCCCGGTGTCGAAAAGTCTTGCAATTCTAGGGGATACATCTCGGGGTCATTTAATGCCGTTTGGAACCATATATGATCATTATTTGTTGTCATAAATGTTCGTGGTAGGCTTGAGTTAATGAAATCGGTGCAAGTTATAAACCGGTAAATAGGTCGTTTAATGGTAAATTGGATGGTTCCACCCACCCAATTGAACCCCCGAAAGATATTAGGGACCATGGTAAACATTTCGGCAATTATTATTTCCAGGCAAAAAAAACGTCTAAAAATTCCAAAACTAAAGGCTAATATCCATGTTTTTAAGAAATTTTGGAGGTTTCGGTGCCCGGTATCGAAAAGCCTTGAGATTCTAGGGAATAAATCTCGGGGTCATATAATGTCGTTTGAAACCATATATGATCACTATTTATTGTCATAAATGTTTGTGGTAGACTTGAGTGAATGAAATCAGTGCAAGTTGTAAACCGGTAAATTGGTCGTTTAAAGGCAAATTGGATAGTTCCACCCACCCAATTGGACTACCAGAGGGTATTAGGGACAATGGTTTACATTACTTCAATTTTTATTATTTTCTGTTGAAAAAAAGTCAAAAATTTCCAAAATTGAAGGCTAATGTCCACGCTTTTTGAGAAATTTTTGAGGTTTTAGGGCCCGATGTCGCAAGGTCTTGAGAATTTAGGAAATACATCTGGGGGTCATATAATGCCGTTTGGAACCACGTATGATCATTTTAGGTTGTCATAGATCTTAGTGATAGGCTTGAGTTAATGAAATCGGCGCAAGTTGTAAACCAGTAAATAGGTCGTTTAAAGGCAAATTGAATGGTTACATCCACCCAATTGGACTCCTTGAGGGTATTGGGGACCATGGTAAATATTTCGGCAATTTTTATTTCCGGGCGAAAAAAAAGTCAAAAAATTCCAAAATTAAAGGCTTATATCCACATTTTTTGAGAAATTTTGGAGGTTTCGAGGCCCGGTGTCGAAAAGCCTTAAAATTTTAGGGGATACATCTCGAGGTCATATAATGTCGTTTGGAACCATTTATGATCATTAAATGTTGTCATAAATGTCGTGGTAGGCTTGATTTAATGAACTCGGTATAAGTTGTAAACCAGTAAATTGGTCGTTTAAAGGCAAATTGGTTGGATACACCCACCAATTGGACTCCCGGAGGATATTAGAGACCATGGTAAAAATTTTGGCAATTTTTATTTATGGACGAAAAAAGTCGAAAAATTCCAAAATTGAAAGCTTATATCCACGTTTTTTGAGAAATTTTTTGAGGTTGGCTACGGTGTCGAAAAACCTTAAGATTTTAGGGAATACATCTCGGGGTCATATAATGCCGTTTGGAACCATATATGATCATTATATTTTGTCATAAATGTTCGTGGTAGGGTTGAGTTAATGAAATCGGTGCAAGTTGTATATTGGGAATTTGGCCGTTTAAAGGCAAATTGGATGGTTCCACCCACCCAATTGGACTCCCGGAGTGTATTAGTGACCATGGTAAACATTTTGGCAAGTTTTATTTTTAGGCGAAAAAATGTCAAAAAATTCCAAAATTGAAGTCAATATCCACGCTTTTTGAGAAATATTGGAGGTTTCGGGGCTCGGTGTCGAAAAGTTGAAATTTTAGGGAATACATTTCGGGGTCATATAAGATATTAGACAAGTTGTCTTTTCTCTTTTTTTGTTCACAAATTGAAAATTTTGAATCCAATTTAGATAGTATAGGGATTACCATATATAACATAAAATTTCTCCACCAATTCGTTCAAGTTAAGCTTATCTCGATCTGTGGTTGTACCTCTAGAGGTAGAAAGAATTGCAATCCCCATTCCACCTAAAATTCTAGGAATTCGTTGATAGTTAGAATAGATTCGTAGACCAGGTCGGTTGATCCTTATTAAATGGAAAGTATTTTTATAAGGCGTTTTCTTATTTCGTCTATGTCGCAAAGTTAAAACCAAAAGCAGTTGTTTCTTTCTTGATGTTTTCTCGCATTTTCGATAAAGCCTTCTCGTAAAAGTATTAAAACAATGTTTTCGATGATTCCAGTAGATACTATTCGAACCGTTCCTTTTCTATTCATGTTTGCATTTCGTATAGAGGTTATTATATCAGCAATACTGTCTCTACTCATGATGAACTAAAATAAGTGGTCGGCTAGAACTTCCCGGTTCTTTTGTCTTTCATTTTTTTTTGTTTTTGTGGATTTATTTCACTGAATTTCCATCCAGTAAAATGGAAGAATTATATATTTTCAAAATAATATAAAGGAATACTGCAAATAAAGCCATCGCAACTCCCATCAAAGGAGTAGTTCCCCACCTAGGAGCTACTTTACCATATTCAGAATTCAAGGGTTTTAAAAGAACCCTACGGTAGTAGGTTTTGGACGAGATCTAGAACTACTCTCAACGGTTTGTGTAGCCATAAATTCGATTATATTCATTGAGATTTGTTGACTTTGTATACCATTCCGTTGTAAATAAATGATTTTATCATAGATCCATTGTGGTCTTAAAATTTTATAATAATGGAAACGACAACCCTAATCACCATCGATCTTTATATCTGGTTTACTTGTAAGTTTTATCGGGTATGCCTTATATACCGCTTTTAGGCAACCCTCTCAACAACTAAGAGATCCTTTCGAGGAACACGAAGATTAGTCGAAGTAATTATATAATGAGCCTTCCAATATTGGAAGGCTCATTACTTCAATTGAAATAATGAAAAATCATTTCATTTTTCAGTTGAAATTTTAGGAGGTTCTCGGAAAAAAATAGCGAAAAAAATTATCCCTAGAGTAGAGACTAAAAGAAATGTATAAACCAATGCTTCCATAGATTTGATTGTGGTTTACAATTATAGCTTCCATACCTGTTTACTTGAGACTATTTTCCATGATCATTATTTGTTGTCATAAATGTGCGTGGTAGGCTTGAGTTAATGAAATCGGTGCAAGTTGTAAACCGGTAAATTGACTGTTTAAAGGCAAATTAGATGGTTTCACCCATCCAGGTGTATTCCCAAAGGGTTTTATGACCATTGTAAACATTACGACAATTTTTATTTTCGGGCGAATAAAAGTAAAAAAAATCCAAAATTAAAGTCTAATATCCACACATTTTGCGAAATTTTGGAGATTTAGGGGCCCGGTGTCGAAAAGTATAGAAATTCTAGGGAATACATCTCGGTGTTTATATAATGTCGTTTGGAACTATATATGATCATTATATGTTGTCATAAATAATCGTGGTAGGCTTGAGAGAATGAAATCAGTGCAAGATTAAAACCGGTAAAATGGCCGTTTAAAGGCAAATTGGATAGTTCCACCCATCCAATTGGACGCCCGAAGGGTATTAGGGACCATGGTAAACATTTCGGAAATTTTTATTTTCTGGCGGAAATAAGTCAAAAAATTCCAAAATTGAGGGCTAATATCCACGCTTTTTGAGAATTTTTGGAGGTTTCGAAGCCCGTTGTCGAAAAGCCTTAAGATTTTAGGGGATACATCTTGGGGTCATATAATACTGTTTGGAGCCATATACGATCATTATATGTTGTCATAAATGTTCGTGGTAGGCTTGAATTAATGAAATCGGTGCAAATTGTAAATCGGTAAATTGGTCGTTTAAAGACAAATTGGATGGTTCCACCTACCCAATTGGACTCCAGGAGGGCATTATAGACCATGGTAAACTTTTTGGCACTTTTTATTTTCGGGCGAAAAAAAGTCAAAAATTCAAAAATTGAAGGCGAATATCAACGTTTTTTGAGAAATTTAGAGTCTTCAGGGCCCGGTGTCTAAAAGTCTTGAAATTTTAGGGAATACATCTTGGGGTCATATAATGTCGTTTGGAACCATATATGATCATTATTTGTTGTCATAAATGTTCGTGGTATGCTTGAATTAATGAAATCGGTGTAAGTTGTAAACCGGTAAATTAGTCGTTTAAAGACAAATTGGATGGTTCCACCCACTCAATGGACTCCTGGAGGGTATTTGGGACCATGGTAAACATTTCAGCAAATTTTTATATTCGGGTGAAAAAAGTCAAAAAATTCCAAAATTGAAGTCTTATATCCACTCTTTCTGAGAAATTTCGAATGTTTCGGGGCCCGGTGTTGAAAAGCATTGAGATATTAGGGGATATATCTCGGGGGTCATATAATGCCGTTTGGATCCATATATGATTATTATGTGTTGTCATAAATGTTCGTGGTAAGTTTGAGTTAATGAAATCGGTGCAAGTTGTAAACCAATAAATTGGTCGTTTAAATGCAAATTGGATGGTTTTACCCATCCAATTGGACTCTCGGAGGATATTAGGGATCATGATAAACATTTTGGCATTTTTTATTTACGGGTGAAAAAAAGTCAAAAAATTCCAAAATTGAAGACTAATATCTAGGCTTTTTGGGAAATTTTGGAGGTTTCGTATAGAGCTGTCAATTCGGGTAAACGGGTCGGGTTTGGGTCAGTAAAAGTGGGTCGGTTCAACTCGTGTCGAATCAATTCGGATTAATTTCATAACCTATGAGTGTCGGGTTTGGGTTGGGTCATGCTTGAGTCTGGTCTTGTCGGGTCATACTTCTTGTCGGGTTTTGGTCGGGTTTAGGTCAGGTTACATTCGGGTCGGGTGAACAATAGGTTGGGTTTAATTCGGGTTTCCACGGGTTAAAACGGGTTAGGGTAATTCTCGGGTTCGATTAGAATTTGGTTCAAGTCAGTAATTTGCGGGTTAGAATCTGGTTTGATCATTCTCGGGTTTGAGTCGGGTTCGGTGCAAGTCAATAATTTGCGGGTTATAATTAGGTATGGTCATTTTCAAGTCGGGTCATTCTCGGGTTCAAGTCGGGTTCGGTTTAAGTCAATAATTTGCGGGTTATAATTAGGTATGGTCATTTTCAAGTCGGGTCATTCTCGGGTTCAAGTCGGGTTCGGTTTAAGTCAATAATTTGCGGGTTATAAACAGGTTGGGTCATTTTCAAGTCGGGTCATTCTCGGAGTCAAGTCGGGTTATGTTCAAGTTAATAATTTGCAGGTTACAATCAGGTCGGGTCATTTCCAAGTCAGGTCATATTTGAGTTCAACTAACTATAAATACATAATTATCATTTTTATTAAGCTAATTATTTCCTTTGACTATAATATATATGGCAATATAATAGGGAACTATAGTTTATAATTTAAGAAGATAATTATCTCCTTTGACCATACAACAAATATATACTATATTTAACTCTTAAATTTGAGGATGATGTTCCTTTCTTTTGCTGGCCTGGACCGACTTGGTCTCCTTAGACAAAATGCTTTGATCAACAATAATAAGGTGGTCTAAATTGCATATAAGGTGATTTGAAAATTGTTCCTATTTAGGTTGGGTCAATAACAAGTGTTGATTTCGAGTAGGGTTAGTAACAGATCGGGTTTAATTTTTGGATCGGGTTAGTAATAGGTCTTGCAAAATTCGAGTCGGGTCAATAACAAGTCGGGTTGAATTTGGGTTAGGTCAATAACAAGTCGTGTTGATTTCGGGTCGGGTTTGTACAGGTTGAGTTAAATTTGGGTCTGGTCAGGAACGGGTCGGGTTGAATTCAGGTTAGGTTATTAACAAGTCGGGTTAAATTCGAGTTTTGACGGGTTAAAACGAGTTTGGGTCAATTTCAATTCAAGTCGTGTTCGGTTCAGGTCAATAATTTACGGGTTACATTCGGGTCGGGTCATCTCCTGGTCTGTTCATGTTCATGACGGGTCTCACATACTCGGGTCAACTTGGGTCAGGGTTGGTTTCAGGTCGAGTTTGGGTCACCATTTTTTCGAGTTCAAATGGGTTGGTTAATAATCGGATTTGAGTCGGTTATTTTGGGTCGGGTCAACTTTTGACAGCTCTACTAAAGCGGGGTAAAATGAGTCATAGAATGAGCTATGCAATTTGCTTCCCTAAAAACAGGAACAAAATCAATAAACTCAAAACAATTAACAATATTCCTAATTTCTCTACATTAAAATTGACACTAAAAGTCAAAACGTTTCAATTAAATATAGAAAGAGTATGTATACTCTCACTACGTTAGATTAGAGAAAATTGAATAATCTTTTTCTCCTCATAAAAAAAGTACTCGTACTTCGTATATAAATGAATCTGGCAGTCGTGCAAACCAAAAAGTCAACAAGTCTTGTGGACACCACGACATTTCTGTGCAAATCAGGGTCAATTTTGCTGCCCATTAAAATTAAGCATTTTCTTTTTCTTTCTCACACTTTAATTCCCACAATCGGTCGTTCGTAAAGTTGGTTGGTAAGGAAGTAGTAACACCTTAACCTTTTTCTCTCTATATTTCTCTCTCTTTTCTGTTCTACTCTTGTAAGTAACGAGGGATCTTTGCTTAATCTGGATTCAAAAATTCAATCTTTTTTACTTCAATTGATTTGTTAAAGTAATTAAATTTCTGGGTTTGTTGTTAATTGGCTTTACCTTTCTGGGTTTTTTCTTAATTTTTGTTTGAATGTTTTGTTTGTAGGATCAGAAAGAGGGGTGAAAATGGCTTCAGATGGTAAAGTTCACACCTTTGACGAAGTTTCAAAGCACAACAGTAGCAAGGATTGCTGGTTAATTATCTCCGGAAAGGTCAGATCTCATGTTTAATTTTGCTCTTTCCGTTTGATTTTTCTTGTTGGGGTTTTGAATTGTCTGAATTGTTGTTCTTGTATGACTTTTATGGGATTTTGAATTTTAATTTGATATTTTCTGTTCTGGAACCACATTACATAAACCGATTTAAGATGTTCGGAAAAAGTTGTTGCGTTGCATGAATTGTAATGATTTATGTTTGTTTTTCGTTTTAAATGATTAAATTATTTAATTGACGGGAAGATGGTGTAAATCGAACGATTATTGTTAAGAGATATCGTAGAATTGTGTTATATAGTATACTATTATATGTATATATGAGGGGTTATCACAAATGCACAATGTGACAATTATATTCGGATGAAGGAATTATAACATTGGGTGAATCCAATGATTTGAGATTAGGTGCTTGTAACTTTTTTAAGGACTATCATGCACTTGCTAATTTGTTACTCCCTCCGTCCCTAAATTACATTCCTCTTTCTCTCTATTATGTGAGGAATAAATGCTAAAAAGAGGAATGTAATTTAGGGACGGAGGGAGTATTGAATAAATAAATATGTAATGCTGCAAAGCTTGAATCATTTTGGTGAGGTGAGGTGATGCACAATTGCTTGTATGACTGGAACTCTTGAATCTTTGAGGTTTTTAATCCACAAGAAATGCATTAGAAGCTAGAGGGTTTGAGGTGTGTGACGCTTTAATAAATTATTAAATTGGACACTTTAGTAGAAGATAATAGTTCAAACTTCTAAGATTTGAGAGACACGAATGGCACGAGCCTTCTTCATCAGTATTCTCTTTGATGGATACTGTTCTGAGAGCGGACTGTTCAATATGATGAGTGATTCATTGTGTAGTCTTTGCAATTTGGTTGTGAATATGATAGAGCATCTTGATTTGATGAACTATCTTTCTTGGCCTATAATAACAAGAATAACGATCCCCACTTTGGATCTTGTTATTTGGCCGATACAGCTTGTCAGTGAAAACTAGCTGAGAATAGATCAACATAAGAACATTTTCCAGAATCAATTGTTATTCAGGGGGTTCTGTTTTTTCATGGCTTTTCTCAATGTGGTTTTTATCATATCAGTTAGTATGAAACAACGATGTTCTCTCAAGTCTTCAATCACTTGATAGTGTCAGTGTAGAACCTTATGCACATGTGATGTAATCTTAAACTAACCGAATTTACCTCTATCTATGTTTTCTGCATCCTACAGTCCTACACTATGTAAATCATAATATCATTAGTATTCTCCTGATTGATTGCTACAGCCTTAGTTTTTGATTTGGATCATTGCTCTTTCAATTTTTGTTCGGGGTTGCTTCCTGTTTCAAATGTGCACGTTCCCTGAATTATATTACATAACATCACTTCTGCTGCATCTAAATTTTGCTCCATCTGTCCAGTTTTATTACTCTCTCTAATTACTTTGGGATATCTGTGAAGTTCATATATCCTATAGATTTATGATTGTATATTCCAAGAAGCCCTACTGACATTGAGTTATGAGGGGTGTCAGATGGATCAATTTAGACCAACTATGGATCTTTTAGTATTATTATATCATATCCTTACCATGAAGTATTCTTAATTATGTGACAATCATATCTTGGTAGAGGGAATAATTGTGAAAATTAATGGCACTTTGCTGATTGACATATTCAGGTCTATGATGTAACTCCTTTTATGGAAGACCATCCTGGTGGTGATGAAGTTCTCTTATCTGCAACTGGTGCGTTTCCCTACATTTCTCTTATTTGCCATCTACATTACTAACTACTAAGCATGCATCTTAGCTTCTTACACATTTTTATATAGGCAAAGACGCAACAAACGATTTTGAAGATGTGGGACACAGTGATTCAGCCAGAGAGATGATGGACAAATACTACGTTGGAGAAATCGACGTATCAACTGTCCCTCTAAAGCGCTCATATGTTCCACCACAACAAGCTCATTACAATCATGACAAGACACCCGAGTTTATTATCAAGATCTTACAGTTCCTGGTACCCCTTCTCATCTTAGGTCTGGCTTTCACAGTGCGTCACTACACCAAAAAGGAGGATTAGAAAATTATCTGTCCTCTGGAGTGAATCTAGGCATGTATCAATTAGCTATTCAGTCCTTGGATTATTGATCATTATTCAGTTGGTTGTGTCTGAAGGTTCTGTTCTAGTTTCTATCATGCTATATTACTGTGATTCTGGATGTACACTCAGGTCACTGTTCTGCTGCTCATTGGATAATTGTATGTGGCAAACCTTTGTTAAGAATTTCAATGTGTTTGTGCTTTGCAGTAATATCTTTCGTTATAAGTTTATCAGTGTTAATTCTCACCTTTTCTTATTGTCTCTCTGTTTTTCATTGGATAATATTTTTCGTTATAAGTTTATCAGTGTTAATTCTCACCTTTTCGTTATAAGTTTATCAGTGTTAATTCTCACCTTTTCTCAGGGCATGTTTACATTTACCGAATTGAGCTAAACTGAACTGAATAGAACTGAAATGAATATTTTATGAGAGAAGGAAATTAGGAGCTGAACTGAACAGAAATTAAACTTAAGGAAACAAGCCCTTAGTCTACTCTTAAAAATTGTCTTAACCTTTTATCAACTAAATTAATTGACATTTTCTAATTTTAGTGAACACCTTGTAAGCTTAACTTTAAAATTAACACATATAAGCTCAATCTTTGTTGATACTATAAGAAACTTTTTTTTTACAGTTGGTGTGTTACTAGTCCTTTCTAAAGTTGTGATAGACATAGTTAAATTAATGAAGTGCTCATTGCTAAAGTTAGTGACATTTATTGTAATACACCATGTCACCGCATACATGTTTTAGAATATGTAGTCTTTCCTTTATTCTTTGTTCGAGTGTTCCAATATATTTAATTTTTAATGTCTTTTATGGTGTTGAAATTTTGGATTTGGGTGTCACATATCATCAATTGTACTTGTAATTTACATTAAGTTTATAATACGAGTACATCTACAATTTGCGATCAAACTCAAAAATTGTAATTTACATTTACACGGACAACTTGAGAAGACATGGAATTGGAGTACTTTAAGGGGCCAATTCATTATAAATTACATGCTTGTTAAGGTTGTGAAATAACCTCATCTCAAACTTGCTCTAATTGAATAAGTTTTGAATTTCGATAGCATACATAGGGTGATGTCTTGAATTAAAATATGTTATGTTAATACTCCCTCAAGTAGCAAGAGCACAAGAGTCAAGAGTAGTTGATAAGTATACTGCTTAGTTTATTTACTACATTATCAGTCATGACTATAGCTCTCAATCAAACAAACAATTTGTGTGAGTTTAAGAAGAGAATCAATGCTTACATAATTGAGAGTTACGGAAGGCCCTCATGACAATTTCACCCAATGAATCGCGAGTGAATTGAAGACTGGTTCAATACACACATGACAATTTTAATAAGGTTAGATTAAGGACTTTGTCTAAGAAGATCAGTTGCCTGCTCCAACGGGAAAATTTTTCTCCATGAGAAAGAAATGTAACCACTTTTACGGTCATTGATTAATCTTTTATCTCACTTTCAGTGAGAGGTGTTAACATGTTATTCGCGGTCAGTATTTTTGATGCTACTACTACTACTATAAAATTTGTTATCAACTTAACAAGCGTTTACAGTTCAAACCCTTCTTTTGGGTAAAGGATCTCCTTTACACTTGTATATAACATGCCACACAACCTGTAATATTATATTCACCCAAAAAAAAAAACAGAAACAAACCTCAAAAAAAACAAAATATTCCCTGACTTAAACAATGAGAAATTACGGTCTATTTCTTTTTACTCTCCTGCAATTGATCACCTTAGTCTTGAGCTGCCATAATGCAGAACGAGAGGCTCTTACCTTGCTCAAGATGAGTTTTAGCGACCCTGCAAATCGTCTTTCTTCATGGACTGGCAAAGACTGCTGTCGTTGGAAAGGAGTGGTCTGTAACAATGTTACAGGTTACATAGACCATCTTGATCTAAGGGCTAACTCAGTGTGGAATATCGATAATCCACTAAGTTTGATGGCAGCACCATATCAGTTAGAAGCCAAAATGCTAGACCCTTGTTTGCTTGAATTGAGGCACTTGAACAACTTGGATTTGAGTGGCAATGACTTTCAAAGAAGCCGAATCCCAGAGTTCATTGGCTCATTCAAACATCTAAGGTACCTTAACTTGTCTATGGCATCTTTTTGGGGAGTTATACCTCCCCAACTCGGCAATCTTACAAGACTAGAGATACTTGATCTTGATAGCTCAAATCTCTATGGACCGCCTTTCCATAGTGATCTTGTTTGGATTTCTCAACTTGTGAACTTGCGGTCTTTGGACTTGAGTGGCATCCACCTTACTCCAACAAACAAGGCTATGGCAACTCTCGCGAGGCTTCCTTCTTTGGTGAAGTTGCGGCTTCAAGACTGTGGACTAGGTAAGGCTCACTTAACTCATGCTTTCCACAATTCAACTTTGCTTTCTAGGATACAATTCCTCGATCTTTCCATGAACGTGTTAGATAACCCTCTCCCTCGATTTTTACTCAACATGACCTCCTTGAAATACCTTGACCTCTCATTTAATATGTTCGATGGCTACATCCCTCTTTGGCTAAACAATATAAGAGGACTCAAATTTCTCAGCCTCAAGGGGAATTCGTTTAGCCACGTAGAGGGAATGGCAATCATGAGAGTCATAGGGAATCCATGCAAATTCAAAGGATTGGATTTATCATAGAAACCCCTCCGGAAAATTTCTCCAAGTGTACTACACATGATTTGGAAATGTTGGATTTAAGCAATAACAAGATCGCGGGCAAATTGCCTTATTGGTTGGGGTACTTGAGAAATCTTAGACGGTTGAATCTAGGAGGTAATAAATTAGTTGGATTGATTCCAACATCAATTGGAAGATTGCCATACTTGGAAGAGTTAAGTCTATTTAGGAATGGACTCAATGGAACCATACCGACTTCTCTTCATGAACTTTCATCCTTGCAAATGTTAGACTTGTCACACAATTTCTTGAATGGCAATGTTCCATCTTTTCTAGGACAGTTGCATTCTCTAATCCTTTTGCAACTGTCAAACAATTCCTTGACCGGAACCATCCCGGAAGTCCTTGGACAGCACAAGACACTGGTGAGAATTAGCCTCTCATCGAATTTTTTGGAAGGCGTAGTGTCAGACTCTCACTTCACCAACCTCTCTAGTCTAAAGAGTTTAGACCTACGCTTCAACTCATTGATCTTGAATCTTACTTCTGACTGGAAACCTCCGTTTCAACTCGATGAACTTCAGTTAAGTTTCTGTAGAATTGAAAGCCAGATTCCTCAATGGATTCAATCACAAAAACAGCTCATTTTCATGGACCTTTCGAATACAGGGATTTCAGGGGATTTGCCAGAATGGTTTTGGAACATGAAGTTTTTTGGACTAATTTTGTCCCACAATCATCTTACAGGTTCAATCACAAACTTATCCTTTGAGCTCTCTTATGGAGACCTTTCATATAACTTGTTTTCGGGGTCTCTCCCACAAGGTCAAGTGCTCGACAATGGCCTCGTTCGAACTTCTTTGTGCCATTTGAAGATACTGAATGTGCTGGATCTTCAGAGAAACATGCTATCAGGCACAATACCTGACTGCTGGAGTTCTGAACAAGTGTATACTATCAATTTGTCCTCGAATAATCTTTCAGGGCTCATTCCCAAGTCCATAGGACTACTTCCTAACTTGTTATTTTTGAATTTGAACAACAATTCACTTGAAGGGAATATTCCTAAGACTTTCAACAAGTCTAGAGGATTGATCATTCTAGATCTTGGTGAAAATAAGCTATCAGGGGACATGCCAAAATTCAGGGCAAAAAGCCACCCGAATCTGCAAATCCTCAGATTACGAGGAAATCAACTTGTTGGGGCTCTTCCAGTACAACTTTGCTCACTTCCTTGGCTTCAAATCCTCGACCTTGCAAGCAACAATCTGACCGGGAACATTCCTCAATGTTTTGGCAACTTAAACGGTATGGTGTTGCTTCCCACAACTCGTAATTCAAGTGCATCATCACCTACATTTCCCATTGAACAAACTACCATGGAGGTGTTGAAAGGGCAAGAGCTACAATACACCACCAATCTTAAGTTTGTAGTGAACTTAGATCTTTCATGCAACGGCTTAGTAGGCTCAATCCCTGAGGAGCTTACTAATTTAGCAGGACTTGTTGGCTTCAACTTGTCGAACAATCATCTAACAGGAATTATACCTCAGAAGATTGGTAATATGAAATCATTAGAGTCCCTTGACCTGTCTAACAATATGATTTCAGGGACAATTCCTCCAAGCATATCCGCGTTGAATTTCTTGAGCCACTTAAACTTGTCCTACAACAAGCTTCACGGTACAATCCCAACAGGAAACCAACTCCAAACTCTTGATGACCCATCATTGATTTATGCTGGCAACCCAGGTTTATGTGGAGATGCATTGCCGAAAAAATGCAAAATCAAACAAGGTGTTCAACAAGGATCAAGCCATGCTCAAGAGGAGGAGGATGACCCTCAAGAGGTGGAACTCTATGTTGTCGTATTTCTTGATTTTGCTACCGGGTTTTGGGGAGTGGTTGGAAGTTTAGTGCTCATGCCGGGGTGGAGACACGCTGTTTTCCGGCATATTGAGAATATCATGAATTTCTTGGGCGCTCGAGTTGTGTTAAAGATCAACAGCTTCAGAAATTTATGAGTTAGCTGTAAGCATTTGATACACATCAGTCAAAAGATCATCACTGAGATATATCAAATGTAGTATGAATAAGTTTACACTAATTTGTTAGTTTGTAACTAGAAGTTTGTAACTATATATTGTAATATTGTATCGATCTCATATAATAGTCAAACTTTTTCAGCAATTATACTTTGACTTGATTTTTGTTGTATACCAAAGCGCAATTTTATTTGTTAATATTATTTATATATATTACTCCCTTCGTTTTTTTTAAATGTTAGAGTTGTAAATGCACCGGAGTTATAGGAGGTTTTACAATTAAAAAGAGTGAATTTTCTACAGCGTCAAGATTAGGTAGAAAAAGGTAGTATGCATCTCCCCCCTTCAAAAAAAAAAAAAAAAAAAAGGTAGTATGCATCTTCAGAGGTAGCTACAAATTAATACACATTAAATCGTAGGTAACATTTAAAGGGGAAATAAAAGTAAAACTATATATGTATGAGGTTGAGTAGAATTAATAACAATAATGGGATGAGATTTGTTTAATTGTACAAGGAATAAGGTAAAGGTAGTGTACTAGTTTTAGTATAAAAGAGATAAGAACGATAGAGTTAATAACCTTATAATGGGCAATTATTAGAAGCTACACCTGGTTCTCACCTTCAATCCAAACATGTCCTTGAAGATATTTTACCTTTACAAGAAAAGCCCCAATTTCCTACCTTTTTCAAATTTCCTCTTTCACTCGTACAATCCCTTAATCCGTCCTACATGAAGAAAAACCAATAGCAATTCTATCCGACCTGAATGTTTTCCACGGATAATCATTTTTCCTTTGAATATGTTTTCCTTCAAACCAAACAGAGCCGTAAGTTAAATTGCAAAATTTCTCAATTAGAAAATTTCAACAATTTATTTTTCTCCACCTCGAAATATAGGGGAAATCAAAGACCCGAATTACACAGAAATTCACCTTAGGCTCATACATTTTCAATCACGGCCCCCTGTACTATGTGCTACAACAACAGATTAGGCCCAAATTGGAAGAAAGACCGATATGAAGCAACCATCACTTAAAATGTTGAACCAATTTTATCATGAAGAGTCATTACCAGATCATGTGCACCATCTAAGAGTTTCCAGATATCAAGGTGTCCGGCCATGTTATTACACTCCCGCAATATCTCATCCATGCTACTGTACTTCTCTACAATTTGTTTTCTCCTCTGCAACACAGAAGCAGCAATAGCATACAACAGCAGGTCCTCAGTCGGTGGAGCCCGTTGTCTTATTCTGCTCCATGCAGACTTGCCAACCCCAGCCCTTAGTGCAGCCTGATCAGCCCACATCACTTCCCACAGGCAAAGTGTCTGCTCAAAATTCAGCTCCCTCCTAAACAAGACAACCACCATCCTGTACACAAAGAAACAATCCTCTGCCTGGAGCTTTACCAAGTGTTTATATAGATGAGAGTCCTTGTGTTTTATAATTTTGGCCACAATATTAAGTTGCCGACGAATTCCCACCTCATCAAGCCTAAAGTTATGCCGAGCCTTCTTCATAAAACCCACAAAGCACCAAAATGCCATATGGTCCTCCTCTATTACTGAGATTATTGGGGAAAGAAGATCACTCATACCTTGACAGTAGCCAATATCTGAGTCATAGATAGCATAGGCTTCAAGTATTGCTACCAACCGAGCAGCATGGTAAATTCTGCATGACTCAAGGTGGTCATAATCTTTAAGCCCTACAGCTTCAGCAGAACGACGTGCTCGGTCTTCTGATACTGCAGCCTGAGAAGGAGAATAGTCCTTCCACTCTGCATTGGCCCGCACAGCATCAAGACGAATTATGCGCTGCCAACTAGCAAAATCTTCAGTGCGGCAGACACTAGACTGTGGATTTGTCTTAGAAGGGGAAAGATCACCCTTTGAAACTGCATCAGCATCATTTTCTTGGTCAAATGGAGAAGAAACTTCATCAAATTGCTCATCTACAGATGACTCCACGTCAGATGAATCACTGCAGATTACAGAAGGACTAGAACTTGTGACCCGTTTGAAGCTATTAGTCCTATCCAATACTGAACTGGAATGATTTTCTGAAAACTCAAGATCAGAACTTCCCTTCTCACTGGAGAGGGACTCGCGAGCACTAACAACATCTTCTGAGGCAGGTGAACTGGGCTCTGAATTGGAGCTCAAACAACTCCCATTGCTATTCAGTAAATTCTCATCAGTTTGTTTTAGTAGTCGTCTACTCCGTCTTCTGAGTTTCTCATACTCCTTTCTGGATACACAAACACCAAAACTAAAATACTCAAATAAACTGACTAATAAATCTCTTGAAGGATGCTTATACTAATAGCATAATAGTACCTGTTTGTATTTCTAACCAGATCTCTTTCTTCTTTTGAGCTATTCAAATCATAGCTGTTTAACAAAACAAATGAACAATTAAAAAAACAAAATCCATCAATTTGATAAGAACAGGCACAGTTAAATAATATAAATGCCAAAAAAGTAAATATGAACTTAAGTGCCATCATGCCAATAATATAAGCCTGAGAAAATCTAGATTATACATCAAGTGAATTTAAGGCAATAGGGTACGAAAACAATAATTACAAAGTTAAGCATACAAGAAATTGTTCATATACAGCAAAAAATGAAGCCATGGGCACAACAGCTGCAAGTTAAAAGTACACCTCAGCAACATAATTTCTCTTACAGAGGCCAAAAGAGCACCACAAGCAAAAGATATGTACACAAACAACATACAGTATATTTGAAAGAAGATGACTAGGCTAAATGGAAACAATGGGCAGCAGGAACAAAAAGCAACAAATTTAGTTAAGGAGTTGTCTTGTTGATAGTGTCTAGAAATTTCAAGCTGAACAAAATTTCAGCACTTTTCCACCTAATCATTTTTATTAAAGTAAGAAATACAAGCAGGGGACACCAAGTCTTAGTAGCTATAAGTTAGAAAATAACAGTGCAATAGAAATCACCAAAGTGATAAAAAAAATAACATAAAGGGAAAATTCTTGCTATTCTCTTCAGAGTCCCTACCCTACAAGGAAAAAAAAAATCCAAGACTTACCTAATGATAAAAAATTTAATGAGTGGTGATTAGAACTTTCACCTGTTAAGTTTACGCCTCAGACAAACATTTTAAGTCTCAGTGGACCAAAAAACTTCAAATTCAGAACACATGTATGGCTCTGCTATATCAATCTTCTTACCACTACCCTTAAAAGTATGGAAGTCAAAATAACAACCTAACGTCCCACCCTTAAGCTATTCTCACTCCCTTTGCCTTTCAAAGAGTGCAGTGATCCACTTTTCAACAATTAAATAGTTGCAATTACCCATTACACCAAGCCATATAAATATATCTTTTCACAATCTAAGCAACTAACAATGCATTGAAAGTTTGAAACTATTGCTAGACTACTAATCCCATTGTCTTCTCCAGAATTTAAAATCCATCGAACACACAGAAGACAAAAGGCATTTCTTATATGCTATTACTACAAACTTGCAGACCTAGAAATGTAATCTATGACTTGTTCTAAGTCTTCTAACATGAGCTAAGTATCTCTTCAATGCCATATAGTTAGGGATAAAAAAATGCACATCATTTTTGTTGGCTTTTCGATGGCTTTCAAATAGAAGTATCGTATACATCTAAGTGCTTAACCAAAAATAGCAAGAGATATGCATAAATCAGATATGCTAACTTAAAAACATGACCAATCCAAAACCACAATTCAGGCAGTGACAACCTATCAATTCAAGATTGGGAGAAATATATTTAAAACAAGGGGATCAAAGCAAGCGAAAAAGGTACAACTACATCAACTAGACTGCCTGAACCATGGTAAGTCTCATGATTACATAACATAGTTCAATTAATGTATAAAGGATTTAGCAGCAGAATGATGTATAAGTAGACAGTTTAACCAGGCTGTACTGCCTGTACAAACAAATACCAAGAAACCATGATTAATTCCTTTGTTCAAACACAAATTCGGTGGACAGCTAACACATAGCTGTAGACATCAAGTATGCATAAAAAACATGTCAACCAAGCGAAGAAGGAGATATAAATGTCCTCTATACTTACACGCCAAGAAGGAAAGGCCAAACCTCTGCTCTGATGCTGGGATCAATACCCTGCATTAAGAAATTATAGAACATTGAGAAACATGACAATTGGAGACAAAAAGGCGTTTCAACCTTTCAGCTTTACAGGGTTTAAATTTTTGAAGTGCAATGATATTCTACTCCAAAAGACACCTTACAATCCACTAATTTTTTTCAATCAGTCGATAAAAATGAAGAGACTATAATTAAGAAGACAACAAGAGGGTATCAATTGGCTACAAGAGACAAATCATAAATAAACCCTAGAAAAAGTTTAAGGAAACAGACATAGCAAAAAAAATAATACAAGCTAAACAACCGAATAAAACTTTCAGGCTCCTACCATTTAAGAATTAAGATACAGTAATTTGAACCAAAGGGTGTCTGATATGCCACTTTTAATTCTATAGATATAGATAGGTTTTTTGCCATGAAGACAAGACCCTAGAGAAATAGATCATAATTTTGGGACTTTTAGATTGATTGGTAGTAAAAGGAGATTAAAATCTAATTTTCAACCTCATACAAAGTGAATGAAAATGCATCCATTTATACAATCACTTACTCCACTTCGAACTTTTTTCAAAAGTTGTATTCCACCATCCTGAAGTTTCCCATCAGGTGTAAACGAATTTCTCCATTGCTGTGGTGTGAGGGGATGTTTCCTTCTCTTGCGAGACCATGGTGACTTAAGTTGACCACTAGCAAAAAAAAAATATAAACATATTCAATATCAAAGGGAATACATAGAACAAACTTCTTTAGAAAATAATAAATATACAAAGTATGTATTAAATCACAGTATAGAATTCAAAAATATATATGCCCAATATTACAAACATGAAGCCTGCAGTGTCCACAGCTAAGACATGCATATGCAGCATAACAATCCAACTCCATGATGTTGACAACCCAAGATACACATAATGTTTCCCAACTTCCAAGCATCATATCAATCACAGGAATTTCACATATTAAACTGACTTCCTAATTTAGCTTCTGTTTGTTCTTTAAACTCAGCTACACGGAATACATATCTGCACCTTTCAATATGAAAGGAAAGACGGAGAATGAAAACAAACACTGAACAGCATTGCTATAAACTACACTTACCATTTTACACAGTCTACTGCAATATCTTTCCCCCTTTCCCCAGCGATTTTCTTCCCCGTGTAGAAATAATCAAAATGTGGAACATGTGCGTTGGATATTGGTTTATTGCACTCCAGTTCTTGGTGAACTAATTCTAGCAATTTAAGGCAGAAGACAAAACATCCTTACCTGTTCTAAACAATAAATTGTAATACCTGGGACACTGTATGACACACTTACGAGCTAAATCGCCCATCCAAGTTAAACTCTCCCATCTACATTATTAGACCACTAAACTAATTTTAGTCCCTTTCAAGTTATCACCTCCCATCCATACTGTTTGATCACATAACTAACTTTAGTAATTAGTGATTCACTAGTATTAGTCACTTAAAATACCAAAGATAAATCACTATTCGATTTTAAATAAATTCCATAATCACACTGAACCTCCATAAAATAAAAATGAATACCCAAGTTCAGAGTACAACCCAATCAAAACATGGTTATCCCCAAAAAGTCACTCATCCACCTGAAACAATTGTCACATTGCTCCAAACTCCCTAAATAGAAATGCTTCATGATGTAATTTTGTAATAGTTGGATCATTCCCAATCTCTGCCTACCACTCAATACAACTTTTAACAATCCTTACTATCATAGATCATTACTAATCTAAAAAGGGAAGCAATCTTTTCCGAACATCCCAATATAGTAAATTCACAACTATCAAATCAAGACATGAGATAACCACAACTTAAATACCATGAATCCATGATTATGAGTAAGATATAACTATATTAGAATTCTAAAGTACAATTGGTAAACTAAAACTAAGAGAATAGTGAGGTTCCTCAGTAAATGAGAGAAAATGGAAGCTTTTAGGGGGAGTAGGGAAACTCACCGATGGGAAGAAGAAGAAGCCGGTGAGGAAGAAGCAACAACGAATAAAGCCGATCGCAAATGAACCCACGATAACGACAACGGCGACGACGATGATGATGATGGTGAATAATGATGTTTTTTCGAATTAGATGATGATGGGGATGATTTCGACGATGAAGAAGGAGAAGAAGAACAAGTATGGCTTCGTCTAAGAGCTTTCATCTACTATAAATACACAAAACCCAGAAAAAAATCCCTAATTCTACCTAACCCTAACCCTCCCCCTAAAAAAGAAGAAAGAAATTAATTTCTGAGGATCTTCCTAAACATCAATCACCAACTAAATCTAGGGTTCATAGTAATCAAATTACACAAATAAACCAAAAATAAATAAATTGGGGGAGGTTTTATTAGAGTAAAATTTTACCTACGAGTGTAAGCAATGGCGGCAAATACAGCGAGACCAGCAACGGCAGTAACAGCGACAGCTACAGCAGCGCCGCCGCCATTTTGGCCGCCATTGCCGCCGCTTAAGAACAAGAATAGTCCACCGATGCTACTGTGTAAGCTCGAAGATGGAACGCTGTTCAGCATTGGAGGAGAGAGGCAATAAAGGGTAGTTTTAAAATTGCCCAAAATGGCGGATTTTCAGTGAGAAATTTACAGTAGTTTTGATGAAGAAGATGATGAAATTGGGGTTTTTTTTTTTTTTTCTCAAATTTCTGCAATTTTTAATATGTCTTAATTTTAAAATTGTCTGTTTCTATGGAGGAGAGAGAGTAGGAATGCAAGGAGGAAGAAAATGGGAAATGAGAAAGGATCAAAAGGAAGACTAGAAAGATTCTTGGCATTCTAGAATTCTTAGCATTCTACCATTTCAGTATTATTGTGAATTTTTATTTTTATTTTTTTTATTTTTTTTTTTTTGGTTGAATTTTTGGATGTAGTTGGGATACCAACTATTTACCCGTTAACTTAATTATTTTTGACAATTTCTAATGTAGGAGAATTTAGTTTAAAGATTTACTCCATTCACTCATGATACATTAACTAGTTATTGGTTCGAATGGTGTTTCGGGTCATTATAAATTTATTATTTTAGTCGAACTATATATACTCCATTTGCTTGTTTATCACTAAGGGTTTAAGTTGTTGTTATTTTAAAAAAGAAAAAATGATAGCTTAAGTAGTTTGTTGTTTGTATGAGTTGGTTTGACTATAATAATAATTCTTTTGCATTAATATTTCCTCATTGTAAAAAATCAAATCAAATCTTTATAAATTTCATGTCAAAATATATACTACTACAATTTTTTGAATTAATGGTCAAATAAAAATAGAATAATGTTTAATTTCTTACAAACTTTATTATTGTGCAATTATTAAGGAGTTACATTACAAGGGAAATTGTTAAGCATATGAAGAGTTTATCATTTAAGCTAAACATTATGGAGTAATACATAAAGGTTAATGCATGGATTTTTTCGATTATTAATGATATGGTATGATTTGGCGACATATCATATGCCAAATGGCAAAATTGATGATACATGGCAAAACAGCATGTCTATATATATATATTATGGTAATTTTTTTTTTTTGGTATTTAGAGAGCCACAAGGGTGGGTGATGAGTTTCGATCTCAATATCACCTGGAATCGGGAGGGGAGCTCTAACCACTTGAGTTATCCCTCACACTCTTTGATTATGTAATATTAATGTTATCTATAATGTCTTAGGCCCTCTTAGCCTTATTGTTGGTGAACTTAATTATTTTCATCAATTTAAAAATAATAATTAAACCTTTTTTTTCTAAACTTAAATTATTTTTACTGAAATGAAATTGTTTTTACTAAATATTTCATATTATCTTGGAAATAAAAAAACCACCTTTTATAACACCTTTTTTTTTTGTTAAAAAAAAAACATTTTATAAAAATTTTCTTGTAAAAGCACATCTAAAATCAATTTATTTTTTTCAAAGTAACACCTTAACCTGGTTTTCGGTGTTGACTTTGGTTTTCAGGCATTAACCTTCATGTGAGTCGCACATGGTCCGATCAAAACCCCTCTTTCTTTATTTTTTTCCCTCCAATTGAACTTTCTCTGATCTCTCCTCTATTATTCCAACCAAGCCTCAATTATTACTCTTGATTGAAGAAGGAAACTCCATTGTTGAGCTCAAATTGCTAAAATTAATCCAATTTCAAGGCTAGTAAGTTGTTTAATTAATGAAATTGCTTATTAATTTTGTTAGGTTTTCAAATTTTCATAAATTAGGGTTTGTAATTGAAAATTTAGGTTACTATTTTGGGACTGATTTATACCCACCAATGTGTTTATGATGAAATTAGTAGTATTTTCAAGGGGCAAATTTGTTTAGTATGCCACCAATATGGTTTTTGATTCAATTTTTTTTTTAATGTGCTTGCAATATTGGGATTCAATGGAGGAAGAGAGTGAAGAGGTGGATGGGGTTGAATTAACCATGCTGGAATTTTCATGGGAGTAGATTTAATTTATTGGTTAGATGGTGTTGGCGAGGGTGGCGGTGGCGGTGAGGTGGTGTTGGCGGGGTGGCAGTGAGGTGATGGTGGCGGTGAGGTGGTGTTGGTGAAGGAAATGAGAAAAATATAAAGGAAGGTGATTTTATGAGATCATGTGACCTACACGTGCAAAGTCAATGCCGGAAAACCAAGTCAAACACCGGAAAACCAATTTAAGGTGTTATCTCTTTTTTCAAGTCAAACAACGGAAAACCAATTTAAGGTGTTATCTCACCCAAAAAAAAAAGAAAAAAGAAAAAAGGGTTTCTAGGTGTGCTTTTACAAGAAAATTTTTATAAGGTGTTTTTTTTTTTTTACAAAAAAAGTGTTATAAAACGTGTTTTTTTTTTTGCAATTTTCCTACTCGTATTATCTATTGTACTCGTATTATATAAGAGAAAGGGTTTCTTGGGTGATAAATTTGCTCTATTCCAAAATGTTATCATTTTGCAAAATTACCTCACTTATCTACAATTAAAAATTAAGAATTATTTTTATTTTTTAAAATTATTATCTATCATAATTGTTCCACATCTTCCACACTAAAAATACAAGGTAAGAAACACACGCATTGCGTGTGTGTATGTGAAATATAGAAAATTAATTAGGCTATATTCTCATCTTTATTCTATAAAAACGATAAATATTTGTTGATATATATATTAGTAAAAAAAAATTATGAAATAAAATGTTGCTAAACTTATGGAATATTTTTTTATTGTTTTAAAAAAATTAAAGCCTTCTATCAATTTGGCTTAAATTTGAACCTTTGAAATCAATTCTTGTGTAAAAGTAAAAAAATAATTAAGAGCAATTTCAATTATTATAGGGAGCAGTTTTTTTTAAAAAAAAAAAAAATTGATGAGTGAGAGCAGTTATGATAAGGTAGTTTTTTTTAGTTTTTTTTATAAAAAATAATTTTTTTTAATTTTTTATTTTAATTGTGAATAAAAGAGATAATATTGAAAATTGAGAAGGGCAATTTGAGAATAGTGAAATTTATCACCCAAAAAGCCCTTTCTCTTTATATATTACTATAGATAAATGCTCTTTTTTTTTTAGAAAAACTCTTCCTAAATTTGCTCATTTATGTTTTTTTTTTGTTCTTTCTTTCTCATGCTTTTAGAAAATATTTTATTTGTATTATTAGTTTCACATCTCCTAATACACATGACTTTTTTTTTTTTTTTTTTTTGAGTGTGATTTTAGGTTGATGGTAGGCATCGGTTAATTTTTTTTCCCTTCTAATTTCTTGTGTGTACCTCTTAGCTTGTTTGAATAAAGTGAAGAGATCAAGGCTAAGTGGTAAAAACGGGAGTTGATTTATCAATGACTAATGTGTCTTAATCCATTGTGGGGCTCAATATGTGTCCGCTATAGCTGATCATATGTAACCCCGACTTATTTTGGGTAGCCTGTTTTGGCCCGATTCTTCAAAAAAAAAAAAGGGCGTTGCTTGGGAAAACATTTTAATGCACATTTAGTTGTTTTTTTTTGCCCGGTCCGAAATGGTCCGAAAAGGCCACACGACCCCCCTTTTTTTTGGCGGGTTTGGACACAAACTTTTGGCCCGGGCCGAGAGTTGCGCAGAAATTTTAGGCCTTGGCTTGGCTGGCCCGTCTAATAATCACCTCTAATGTCCGCATAACATCTTTGTAAAATAAAAAGAAAAAAATAAAAAATGTACTATATTTTTTAAGAGAGAGAGAGAGAGGAGACTAGAAACTTATAAACTTAAGAAATGCAAATTTTGTGGAAACATGTAAATTTCATAATGAAATGGAGATAGTATTAGTGCATACTATCAAGTATCAGTGTATCACATTTAAAGGAAAAAAATAACCTTGACATACATTTTTAAGCCGATGAAATCCCATGTGAAGATGATTTTGTTCACGCAGCATAATTGAATTCCGATCTTTGGTTTGCAGAAGAACATTGATCTATGTCGATTTCTGCACTTTATGGTATGTTGAGATTTGAATTGATATCTTTGATGAAAACGTTGTTGTATAACTTCTTTAGGAGAAACGTTGAGGGTAGAATGAGAAAAAAAATATTTAATAAGATATATAGATTTCTTGCTCTATTCACAATTTCACATCATGTAATGTGTGACATGTATGGTCTTGTATCCACGCAACCAGGCCAGTATTGAGAATTATTTTGTTCAAATTGAACGGTTTTTGTATTAAAGCTATAAACTTCACATTTGTTTGATGACTTAATTGGACATTTAGAGACAAATTACAATTCAATGTAACGATTCTTGTAAATTATAAGAAAGTGTTAAAGTTGGGACACACTACAATATTGATATATCGTATCTCAAGAGATAGCTTTATCATTAAAGTTATAGTTATAAATCTCCCTCTTTTTGTTTTGAATTGTCACATTAAAATTTTACAGTATTTGTGTGCTATTTTCTCACCAACTGTTGTGATTTCTACGTAATTACGTCATGAAAAATGTAGTTATGCAAGATCTTGTTAGATATGTTTTGAAACTATCAAAATATCACTTTTCAATACATAGATCTTTTAAGAAAATAGAAGATACTGGTGGTATAAGATTGTGGAACTACAATAATTATGTTATTAATTTATTTATTTTATTTTATTTTTAATTTTTTAATTTTTATTTTATTGTTAAATATAGAGAAATATATGAGAGAATATTATTCAGTGTGTATACTTTCCATCTGTTACGGGATATATATATACATGTAGATTATTTAAGGATTCATCGGATAAGATCAAATACCCGTCTCTAGAGATTCTAGATAGTACATGGATAATAGTCATCCACTTATACATCCATATCATAACACTCCCCCTTTGATGACTTATTGAAGATCGTGCTCGTTAAAACCTTATTAGGAAAAACCCTGTGGGATAAAAACCTAATGAAGAAAAAAGAGTACAACAATCTTTGTAATACGCTCGAGATGCTGCCTCGTTAAAAACCTTGCCAGGAAAACCCAATGTGGGACAAAACCGTAGTCAAGGGAAAAAGAGTGCAGCGCGTATTTTCTCCCCTTGATGAATACATAACTTGAGTTGATCTTCTTATGCAATGAATTCAATATAGTTGAAAGTCTTCTCTCATGTAGATTGATATCATTCCTTGATCTTGAATCCTCCTAAATTGGCGTTGCATCTTCAAGTCTTCAATGATGTGTTGTGTCTTCAATTTACAATACTTGCGATAATAATAATTCATGTGCTCACATTTATAATATTTGAAGCTCATTGTTTAAAGTTGCCTAAAACATCAAATTTATGCCTTCTTCCGGAGGTCATATTTTGCATTTGAAAATTAATGATCAACATTTGATTAAATATTAATTAATAATAATCCGATAACATGCAATGTAATATCATCGATAGATGTTGGTATCGATAGATGCGTGTTGGTGTTTAATAAATCTTATATGAATTAGTAGTGCAACATATATAATTGCATACTCTGTTTATGGTTCTGCTGGACCATAAGAAAACGTTCTCACGCATAAGTATC